CACACAGACAGACAACACGATGAGAACACCTGACTATCGTGTAGAATCCGCTGATTAATTGATAGTACAGCATGCAGCTGCCTGAAGAGTTAGACGTGGCCATAGACATAGTGAGTTCACTAACTAACATCAAGGTTTTACGCTCAGCTTACCCAAAGGCAAATTGATATTCCATCCAGTAGGATTGACATCCTCCATGTGCTCGTGGTTGTTGCTCCAGCAAGGACATTGTCGTGTCACACCTTACACTCCAGTGCAAAGGGCCGAATTAACACCCCTGCAGAGTTAGTTATATGCAGTGGCAGTGTTCCCCATCTTTGGACCACACCCTGCACGCAGTGCAATTCAAGGGTTGGTCTCTGGGCGGTACTATGGACCAGCAGTGCCGTCATCGAACCTCGCTATCCGGATCCGCACCACCCAGCACTCCCGGCCTCCCGCCCTGCAGACTACAAGTGTACTTTGTATGTACTGTATGTGTTCTAGACTGAAGAAACCCGGGATTAAGCTGCTTGTCTCTGTACAGACAATGCGCCTGCACTGCCTCATCCCGGTCGAAGTCCCTTGCCTCTGTGCAGACAATGCGCCTGTACTGGCTCATCCCGGCCGGTCTAAGTCCCTTGCTCTAGACAGGCACACGCCTGTGAATTCTAATTTCTAACTCATTCACGTCTGCTCTCGTGTGTCCATGCTTGCTCTTTCTCGTGCCCTGTTGTCTATTCCGTGGGCAGTGTAACTAACTTGTTCTCAGGATCTTCAGTTGATACGAGCATGAGGCATATGCAGATTTTCTGCCCAACAATATCCCTCTTGATTTTTTCTCTTTCCTTGGGCTGTGGACAATCCTTTTCACATTCAAATTGCAAAACCCGGTGCATGCACCTGAAATCCTTTGCCTGTGATGGGACGAGTCGCTGGGATCACAAAATCACTGCCGTTATGCTGCCTCCATATATACATGTACAATGTAGGTAACGTTAAATCTTCATGTCTGAACCTTTGTTGCGTTTGTAACACAAGAAAACGTCAAGGCCGTTTTTGATTTTGATATTATCAAACCCTCCAGACAGCTGCTTCATTCCAACATACTCTTGCGGCTCAACAGTGGAGGTAGTAGATAATGAAATGATCTATTGAGGTGAATGACCGATTATACAATACTGAGTATGGGGGAAACTGGCGCAATTGCACAAAATTGAATACAATCGTATTGACCGAATTCGGTGAATATTTGGTCCGCATATTAACCAAACATGCACCGGTGCACATGCCATTTAGGGGATTGACTGCACTTGCAGCTTGCGGACATGTCCACCATCACCTTCCATCAGACGATCTGTTATCGATGACATGCTAGCTGCTGGTTAGAAGTCCCTCTGCTCGTGTAAGTGTGCTCTGAGTCTGTACGTTATACTAGCAAACAGAGTTTCCAAGTGACCGAGTGGAAGACTCCTCTTTTCGCTTCTCGGGAAGGAGCCAATGCCTGACTGAACGAAAACTTTGCCAAGACTAAAAGTCTTGCGCCCGAAGGCTATCGTCTCCCATCGCTCATCCTCTCCAATTCCCAAAGGAAAGCGCTCCCGTGGATTATTACTAGCAGCTGGGCAGTAAGGGTAGTAAGCGCACATTCAGTGCGTCATCCAGGTAACATCACTGGATGTGTAATCGAACTCTTTGCTATTACTTCAGCAGACCTACCTACAAAGCAGGATTCTCTCTGTCACAGATACCCTTGGGGAAGTCCTTGGACCTCCACAGAGCGTTTAAGAACGTGTGCTCGCAAAATAGTTCCTTTCTCTAGAGACTCCTGGCCCAAAGACTTGGGCCGGCGAGTGGCCTGCGGAGGTGCGAACGTGTCGTTGGACGGTTGGAGGTGACAAGCTGCAGTGTAGGCTGACCTAACAATAGCATTACCCTTTCAGTCACACGTCCCTATGCCTATTGGCCCGGGATTCAGGTGACTGTGCTACATGTATCTCTCTTTATCCCTTCAGCCATCCTCCCCCCCCCCCCCCAGGCAGCTACCTTTTTCGCTCCTTTTGAATGATGTCTTTCTGATCCTCGGGTGAATAAATAGAGACAAACCTTTCCAGCGTGTTCCCCAAGATCATTTTCTAAACGCAAGGGAGGGTTTTCTAAACGCAAGGTCGCAAGGTAGGGTTTTCTGCGTACCAGTGCAGTACTACAAGTCTGTGCAGTGACGTAATGGTATAACGAACACCATGGCTTTATGAATAAAACTCATCACGAGACACCGTGCAAGTACCGGGTGGATCTACATGTACTTGTACACTGTTGCGATTGTGATTGTGAGTTTGCGTGTGGGCGTGAGTATGAGTGTGAGTGAACACCCAGCTGGCACGATCGGGAGGATTCATGCCTCCTCCTGTGGGAGGTGATTTCAGGAGCAGCACATCTCTACTAGCACTAGCTCTGCCATGGTCTTGCTGACAAGCATGAGGCAGAGCATCGATCCCCCAACCAAGCTTTGCTTCTATCTTCCCATTCCGTTCTCTGCTGGACTGTGTATTGCAGTATAAAAAAAAGCAGACCCGCCACTTGCTTCACCAGATTGTACAGTGGCATCACAGCAGGTTTATATGGAAACACAGATAAACTGAATATCACCAAGCCCAGGTGATAACAATGATAATAATCATGGATAAGAGCACGCTACATGCAAGGCAAGTAAGGTGTGTAATGTCCTGCCTGAAATCATGAGAATGTGTCACTGTAGCAAAGCCGTCACTCGGTCAATCTGCTTCGGGGCCTTTCGCTGTCAATGTCCAATTATCCCTGTCAAACCTGCCGTGAAAACTGCAATGCCAGCAACTTGACTGTACTTTCACTTGGCTCGAAATCCACTTACTGACTGGGTGCGTTGTATTGTTTTCATCTGCAAGCTTCATGTTATGTCAACGCAGTGTCAAGGCGGACTCGTTTACCACATGGAGTGCTGTGAGTAAATGTGCTCATCAGCGTATGCTTGTCCGAGGATAGACGAATGTTCTTGCCTTGTACCAGACTCCCGCATTCTAATCCGTGCTCCGTGGAATCTACAGCACTCGAGTGTTGCATGTTGTTTTCCGCGGTTGCGCCACTCAATACAAATCACAGTCGCGGGTAGGTGTGGAGTGGAGGGCCTCGCGACGTACATGTAGAATCGACTTCCATTTGTGTGCACCCATCCTTGAGGTCGCCTGGAGAGTTTCCCACGATCAGCCACAGCGTTATCGGGTTATTCGTCCGCTGAATCCCGTCTACACCGCGTCGCCCACAACCCTCGTGTCCCCATCTCCAAGTCCTTATACGCAGCTTTATAGTATACTAGTAATCCGTAAAAAGAAGGGGGAAGCTGATCGTAACCGACCTACATGTACATGTGCTAGTACCAGTTAGTAGTAGTAGTAGTAGTAGTAGTAGTAGTAGCCGGTCATGTTGTAACATTCAACACATTCCTCTCTTAACCAGGACCATGTGTTATGATCCTGCTGCATGTGATCCTAGATCAGTTTAGTGAATGAACTGTGTACTTGTACTAGTAGTAGGTAGGCGACTGGAATGAACCTCTGTTCAGTAACACGTGTGATCTTGTAGAGAGCTACTCCGCCTACCCGATCCTTCTGAATCTCAACTTGAGTCACCCACAACAGTAGCTGTGAAACTAGTACTAGAGCCACGCCTCGTGGCCCGTGGCCTATATGTCAGGTGTACGGTCTTAAACTGATACTCGCTGGCCTTGCTTGGGCAGCCAATACTCACACTACGGACAGCCTTGGACCTTTTCTGTTTCTCATGTATTGCCTAAGCCCTTCCTCTTCTCAGGGAGTCAGGGTGCATTATCAATCACCATTGCCATTGGCACTGTATTGCCAGCAGAACACGCATACACTGATACAACACCTACTACATCCCGTACCCGTACGACTGTACGACTGTACACCATGCTACCAAGACGACAAGAGCCCGTTAGGACTGTCCAGTATCTCAAAGGCTGTAGGGTTCCCTCAATTCCCTGTACATTTTCGACCAGTACTGTTGGCTGATAGGTCAAGACCTCAGCGCGATCATGGATACCGGTATGTCTTGTGATATGGATATGTCGTACTGATACGTCGTGATAATAATTATGGAAATGGTCTGTGATAGGTCTATTGATTATACTATTTATAGGTTCCAACTACTTTCCAGTTCGAACAGACTGGATCTGGACCACACGCTTTCGGACTGGATCTGGACAACAAGCTTTCTTGCATGCATTTTTAACACCGGTCCCAACCCAGTTTCATGTTCTCTCGAAACAAAACAAAATGGCTATCCATCTGGGGCTATGTATGGGGGAATGGTAGCTACCTGTGGTAATCTCTGACACCATAAGAACACTACAAACAAACTGAACGATGTCAGGGTGAATTGGTGGCCATATCAGTGGGGGGGGGGGCACAGTTGTTGTTGTTGTGCAACGAAGTTGTGTTGAAGAAGGAAGGAGCGTGGACGGTTCTCCGCTTTGTCTCTAGTTTCTAACGTGTGGGAATGGAGGAGCAATCATCTTGTACTTGCTGGCTGCCTAAGCCGTGACGTCGTTGCGGGCAAACACTACAATCATCATCATGGATCTACAGCTAGAAAGCAGCACAATTACAACGACGTTACAGTGCACATACACGTCCTTGTACTTCACGCAATTGTTAGATTGACAGCATGAGAACCGGGTGCGATACCCATATGGTTCAAATGGTCCGCAGGGACCTGGGCTCTGCCAACCGCGGAAGGTTGTAGTAAGGTCACTGTTTTCGAACACAGTGTCCTCCACCTTGTTTCATGCTATCAATCTAACAATTGCGTGAACTACAATAAGGTTTATCTAATACTGGTTTACCAGTTTTGGATTCTATCATGATTGTACTTGTAGCTGGTAGTCTCAACTAAGACTTACTTGATTCACTGTCAAGTACCACTCTGCTCATGGATGCACGTGCATTCCGGGAATGACGGCAAAGTAATAGCAGAGATGAAGTTGCAAGCCAGAGATGATTATTAGGATGACAAAAGTGAAGGATCACAACACATGATGGGCAACACGAATTTGGTAGGTAACATCGAACCTCAAGAAATGGTCAGAAGCTCATAAGATAGAGTCAATGTCATAGTTTTCTGCAAGGTGTAGACATCTACAGTGGAGCTCGTGAATGGTTTATTATTACTGTGTACTTGGCACTTGATTGCACTGCACTGTGGTGTGTGTGCACAGACATGTAGCACTCAATAGCATTTTCATGAAAATAACTTCAAGTTTGGGCCCACCTAGGCATGCAGCCATAGCTCTAAATTTTCAAAAAATATCTTCAAAACTGCTTGAACCACCGGGGGTACTACTAAATTTGACAGTAATACTGACTCAGCTTTCGGAGCACAGCGACTTGGAAACTAGAGCAAGGGATAAGTGGACAGACACCACATCAACTTGATGGGCATTATCAAGAAGACACATCAATCACAGAACAAAGCAAAATGGCAAGTGCAGGGTCAGAGCCCGCATTGTTTTCCTCTATGGAGATTGCGAAGTTGTCAATGCATGTACGCAGGACCAGCCACTAGCAACTGCAAATCAGGTATGCAACCGAATTGGCTATAGGCTATAGGATAAGCCTGGCTTCCACGGGAAAAGCAGCCGATGCTGTCATGGTCAAAGCAGCGCAGACATCGTTAGCTGGGCCACTGCCGCCGCCTGGGATGACTAGCCAACTTCTTGCCGGTACAGATGGATAGGCTGGCGGGGGTGTCGTGCCTGCACCCATACGCTCGAGGTGAGCTGATGCGTGCACTCTCTGGTCGTGTCTCAGGCGATCACTGCGCAGCACGCTAGCAGTCAGCACAGTGCTCCTTCTACCGTACGGTATCCACAGTCGGTAGATGCAGCTCACCTGCCGACATCCCGTAGGCATGTTCGCCTGGCAACTAAACTCCTGGTCAGTGTTCATACCCACTGTGGTATGTGGCGAGTGCAGATGCAGCAGGTGCCGGTACACTGCAGACAGCAATGACACAACGGGCCCACAATGTCAGAACACTCACACAGATATTAAAGGGGAAGTTAAGGCGAAAATCAAAATTTCACCAGTTGTAGTCTTCGGGGTGCTGAGTCGAATGGTCGTGGTCCGAGGAAGCTGATATGCTCCCTTCCTACTTTAATCCGAATCAAACTCGCGCACTTCCACCGAAACTGGGTGACTGCGCCCTACGAGATGGGGATTTGTCTGCAACATGTCACTAAAAGCGCCATTTCGTTCTTATAAAAGCATGGATGACCGCGATTGGCCCATATGTTGTAGTCTTTTGGACGCTGAGTTGATTGGTTTTGGTCCGAAAAGGCTGCGATGCAGCGTTCCTCCTTTATTCCCAATCGAACATGGTTGAACAAGCGGTCACGTGCTCATGCGTACACCAGTCACCTGGTCACCGTGCCTGCAGCGTACAACTTACTAGCCTGTTTGACCTTTTTTGGGTGCAGTCCTGTCACTCGAGTTGAACTCGAGTTGAACCTTGGTGTGAAAGTTGTCGCCCGCTGGCGCTGTGACCAGGTGATTTGGGCACCCAGGAGCACGTGACCGCTTGTTCAACCATGTTCGATTGGGAATAAAGGAGGAACGCTGCATCGCAGCCTTTTCAGACCAAAACCAGTCGACTCAGCGTCCAAAAGACTACAACATATGAGCCAATCGCGGTCATCCGTGCTTTTATAAGAACGCGCTTTTAGTGACATTTTGCATACAAATCCCCATCTAGTAGGGCGCAGTCACCCAGTTTCGGTGGAAGTGCGCGAGTTCGATTGGGATTCAAGTAGGAAGGGAGCGTCTCAGCTTTTTCGGACCAAGACCATTCGACTCAGCACCCCGAAGACTACAACTGGTGAAATTTGATTTTTGCCTCAACTTCCCCTTTAAACTATACCGATGTCACAAGCATAGACATTCCCAGCCACAGTACATTAAAAGTTCTCGGATGATGACGCAAGGAAACGATTAATTGAAAACATTGAAATCTTCCCCTCTTCAGAAATATCACTAATATCCATGACCCTTCCAAGTAACGGTAGTTGGAAGGCCATTGGCTACTGGCGCTATCAAGCAGTGCTCGTGGCATGTCACCGTACTCCTTGTCAGTCTGTTGCTATGTTGTGCACGTCTGACTGTTCGAAATCTGGTTTAACTGGTGGACTCTAAAGCATAACTTGTGCCCCACCATTTTCAATGTTTCCAATTATTTTTCACAGTGCATCATTCTGGTTCAAACCTCAAAGGTACACAGAAGGATGTGCAAGTGTGCCGGGAGTGCCCGGATGTGTACATATACATTTATACTTTAAAAATGATTGGGTGCGCCCATTGATGCATCGTTCTCATACACACCTTGCGTGCATCTGTCCAACTGGTTGATGTGCGGACAGGGATCCATACCTGCATACCACAGAAGTAGTACATTCGTAAATGAGTCACGGTCTCACTTGTATCTGCAAAGCTCTTCAAAGATATGTTATAGTGCGCTTTGTGTGTGTACGTTTGTGTTGGTACTACATTCACTTCACTTTAGGCATCTCTAGTGCCTACAGGCATCAGGGGACAAACAATGGACGAAATAAGGTAGCCAAGAACAGGCATATAGTGGTTTCTCTGCAGGTGGAGAGTCCTTCATTCACCTCAGAGTGTCAAAGGCCACGGACATACCTTGAGTATTGCTGCTGCTGCTGCTGCTGCTGTTACTGTTCCCAAAGCTGCTATAAGACACTATCCTGGTGCACTTCAGGGGCTGCCGGCCAGGGTCTGACCATGACCAGTTTGCACGGCCTACGCCGGTCGACAGTCGCTGGCAGCGCAGCAGGCCTCGGCTGCTCGCCCGTCGTCCAGGATTGCACGTGCACTGTGCAGTGACGCCATGCTTGTGTCGACCGTTGAGCGACACTTGATTAGCCGTACATGTTCCGGCACGGATGACTGGAAGATCGCTCTGCAGACATGATGCTGTGCACCGTACAGAGAAGAGATAGTAAGGGAACAGGGAGGAGAAAGAAAGTACTAGAAACTGGATAGAGCGAAGATAGTAAGGGAACAGAGAGGAAATAGTAAGGAACCAAGAAGGAGATAGAAACAGAACAGAGCAGAGACAGAAATGGAACAGAGCGGAGATAGGAATGAAGCAGAGAGAAGATAGAACGGGAACAGGGAGGACATAGGCATTACCAGCATTTCCAAGTGAATGACATGTGGGAAGAGGAGAACAACAATATTTACCAACTTTCTTCAATGGATGTCGGGAGAGGGAGATGAAGAGGTGGGCAGAGGAACAGACAGATCGATGGACGGGGAGCACTGCACATACAGACAGATGGATGGACGGGGAGCACTGCACATACGGACGGGGAGCACTGCACATACGGACGGGGAGCACTGCACATACGGACGGGGAGCACTGCACATACGGACGGGGAGCACTGCACATACGGACGGGGAGCACTGCACATACGGACGGGGAGCACTGCACATACGGACGGGGAGCACTGCACATACGGACGGGGAGCACTGCACATACGGACGGGGAGCACTGCACATACGGACGGGGAGCACTGCACATACGGACGGGGAGCACTGCACATACGGACGGGGAGCACTGCACATACGGACGGGGAGCAATGCACATACGGACGGGGAGCACTGCACATACGGACGGGGAGCACTGCACATACGGACGGGGAGCACTGCACATACGGACGGGGAGCACTGCACATACGGACGGGGAGCACTGCACATACGGACGGGGAGCACTGCACATACGGACGGGGAGCACTGCACATACGGACGGGGAGCACTGCACATACGGACGGGGAGCACTGCACATACGGACGGGGAGCACTGCACATACGGACGGGGAGCACTGCACATACGGACGGGGAGCACTGCACATACGGACGGGGAGCACTGCACATACGGACGGGGAGCACTGCACATACGGACGGGGAGCACTGCACATACGGACGGGGAGCACTGCACATACGGACGGGGAGCACTGCACATACGGACGGGGAGCACTGCACATACGGACGGGGAGCACTGCACATACGGACGGGGAGCACTGCACATACGGACGGGGAGCACTGCACATACGGACGGGGAGCACTGCACATACGGACGGGGAGCACTGCACATACGGACGGGGAGCACTGCACATACGGACGGGGAGCACTGCACATACGGACGGGGAGCACTGCACATACGGACGGGGAGCACTGCACATACGGACGGGGAGCACTGCACATACGGACGGGGAGCACTGCACATACGGACGGGGAGCACTGCACATACGGACGGGGAGCACTGCACATACGGACGGGGAGCACTGCACATACGGACGGGGAGCACTGCACATACGGACGGGGAGCACTGCACATACGGACGGGGAGCACTGCACATACGGACGGGGAGCACTGCACATGCGGACGGGTAGCACTGCACATGCGGCCGGGGAGCACTGCACATGCGGACGGGGAGCACTGCACATGCGGACGGGGAGCACTGCACATACGGACGGGGAGCACTGCACATACGGATGGGGAGCACTGCACATACGGACGGGGAGCACTGCACATACGGACGGGGAGCACTGCACATACGGACGGGGAGCACTGCACATACGGACGGGGAGCACTGCACATACGGACGGGGAGCACTGCACATACGGACGGGGAGCACTGCACATACGGACGGGGAGCACTGCACATACGGACGGGGAGCACTGCACATACGGACGGGGAGCACTGCACATACGGACGGGGAGCACTGCACATACGGACGGGGAGCACTGCACATACGGACGGGGAGCACTGCACATACGGACGGGGAGCACTGCACATACGGACGGGGAGCACTGCACATACGGACGGGGAGCACTGCACATACGGACGGGAGCACTGCACATACGGACGGGGAGCACTGCACATACGGACGGGGAGCACTGCACATACGGACGGGGAGCACTGCACATACGGACGGGGAGCACTGCACATACGGACGGGGAGCACTGCACATACGGACGGGGAGCACTGCACATACGGACGGGGAGCACTGCACATACGGATGGGGAGCACTGCACATACGGACGGGGAGCACTGCACATACGGACGGGGAGCACTGCACATACGGACGGGGAGCACTGCACATACGGACGGGGAGCACTGCACATACGGACGGGGAGCACTGCACATACGGACGGGGAGCACTGCACATACGGACGGGGAGCACTGCACATACGGACGGGGAGCACTGCACATACGGACGGGGAGCACTGCACATACGGACGGGGAGCACTGCACATACGGACGGGGAGCACTGCACATACGGACGGGGAGCACTGCACATACGGACGGGGAGCACTGCACATACGGACGGGGAGCACTGCACATACGGACGGGGAGCACTGCACATACGGACGGGGAGCACTGCACATACGGACGGGGAGCACTGCACATACGGACGGGGAGCACTGCACATACGGACGGGGAGCACTGCACATACGGACGGGGAGCACTGCACATACGGACGGGGAGCACTGCACATACGGACGGGGAGCACTGCACATACGGACGGGGAGCACTGCACATACGGACGGGGAGCACTGCACATACGGACGGGGAGCACTGCACATGCGGACGGGGAGCACTGCACATGCGGCCGGGGAGCACTGCACATGCGGACGGGGAGCACTGCACATACGGACGGGGAGCACTGCACATACGGACGGGGAGCACTGCACATACGGATGGGGAGCACTGCACATACGGACGGGGAGCACTGCACATACGGACGGGGAGCACTGCACATACGGACGGGGAGCACTGCACATACGGACGGGGAGCACTGCACATACGGACGGGGAGCACTGCACATACGGACGGGGAGCACTGCACATACGGACGGGGAGCACTGCACATACGGACGGGGAGCACTGCACATACGGACGGGGAGCACTGCACATACGGACGGGGAGCACTGCACATACGGACAATGGCCTGTTTTAAAGTACCCGTTGTCTTCAGCAATCCTCTCCCTCGCCGCACAGCAATCCTCGCCGCACAGCAATCCTCGCCGCACAGTTGATTCGAATCATTTTCTTGCCGACGTTTCGAAAAATAATGTGATGTTTACAGTTTGCGTTGTTTGTGTTAGCATTGCATACTACTATGACTGTCTGGTGTCCTGAAACAATATTGAGAATTCAATATACTACATGTACAGTAGCCAGTAGATGCACACATGTACCGATAGCCAAGAGCCACTACAGTCAGACCTCGCTTATCCGGCCCTCTTTTATCCGGATCCCTCGCCATCCGGAAGAAAACCGTTGGTTACCGATCTACAGCATATGTCATGCATACATACAGTATGTGTGTTCGATTATCCGTTTCACTCGCCTTTCCGGAAATTTTGTGGAAAACGAATGTGTGCGGTTAAGCTAGATCTGTCTGCACTACCGGTATAGATAAAACTATTGCCGGTCATGTTCATTTCCTTTAAAAAAAATATATAATAAATTTTTGGCTCTCAGTTCTTCGAAGTCTGAAGAAAATGTTGAACGGGCCCTGCCTCTGCTGGGATGACAGCTACACCATAGCTCAGTGGTTAGAGCATCGCTGGCCTCAAGCGAAGGTCCCTGGTTCGATTCCCGGTGGTGACAGTCAATTTTTTCTTCGGACTTTCCCGTTTGCAACTTTCCCTCAAAGGCCAATGAATATGTCTGGCTCTCCACATCTCAATAATGGATATGTCTGGCTCCCCACATCTCAATAATGAATATGTCGGGCTCTCCACATCTCAATAATGAATATGTCTGGCTCTCCACATCTCAATAATGAATATGTCGGGCTCTCCACATCTCAATAATGAATATGCCTAGCTTTCCACATCTCAGTAATGAATATGTCTGGCTCTCCGCATCTCAATAATGAATATATTGGGCTCTCCCCATCTCAATAATGAATATGTCTGGCTCTCCACATCTCAATAATGAATATGTCTGGCTCTCCACATCTCAATAATGAATATGTCTGGCTCTCCACATCTCAAGAATGAATATGTCTGGCTCTCCACATCTCAATAATGAATATGTCTGGCTCTCCACATCTCAATAATGAATATGTCTGGCTCTCCACATCTCAATAATGAATATGTCTGGCTCTCCACATCTCCGGATCGTGAGGGGTGATGGCATGCCTATGAAGGCGGAACAGTCAGTCTGACTGAGTCTCAGACAAAGTTGGCATGAAATCTATGCTTTGCTCTTTCATCTGAGCACATATCTTTGAAACAACTTTCATTCAACAAAGCATTGCTGGCCGAAAGCGAGGAGGGTTTCTGGTTCGGGTCCTGGGGTGGCAGAAAATTCCCTTCTTCGGCATGTTCCTGTTTTAGCTCCCTTAAACTTAAGAACAACTCCCATTGCTTGACATTTTTAGAATGCTGTACATCCTTACGCTCTGAGGAGATGTGGTAGCAGGTTGGTACAGGGCTCCACACATGTCCTTTGCTGTTGCTGTTGGATACCAGGACACATGTTGATGTGTTGCCACTCGCAGCACCGTGCAACCAGGAATGGCTCGGGCAGGAGTAGCTGATAGTGCTGTTCTCGGCATGACTCTCCAAACACGTTTGGTGCAGGCAGTGCTTGACGTGCGTGCGCCGGCCCCTCTCCACAAAGTGAATCTCTGGTCGACGACACGGGTCTTGACATAGGAAACATACACATATACACACACATGTATACACACATACACATACACACACACCTGACCTTTGACGCCCATCGCCAGAGGCGATGATAGCAATGCTACGGCAGAAGCCATAGCAACTTGTGCTGGGATTGCACCATTCAACAGCTTGCAAGGCTGAAGAATTGACCATCACTATTCAGCCTGGTCTACACCATACAGCTATTTGAAGTGACTTTTTCTGGCCAGTGAATCCCTATTTTTGGTCTTTTCATTATTATTTTCCCCGCACACACATCACACCACATACTCCGGCATGCACTGGCTGTTGGTAACCACCCAGGAGAATGAAAGAAAAGTCAGGAAGAGTCTGAGAAAGAGAAGAAAGACGTATACACACGTATACACGTATACACACACACATATACACACACACACACACACATACATACACATACATACACACACACACATACACACACACATACATACACACACACACACACACACATACACACACACACACACACACACACACACACACACACAAACATACACATATACACACACACATATACACACACCATACATACACATACATACACACACACACATACATACACACACACACACACACACACACACACACACATACACACACACACACACACACACACACACACATACACACACACACACACACACACACACACACATACACACACACACACACACACACACACACACACACATACACACACACACACACACACACACACATACACACACACACACACACACACACAGCACACACACACAAGGCACAGTCAAGGTCAGGGTTTGAAATACAGGAGCCAAACAGTGTACATGCCGTAGAAGGCAGATCTGTTACTCACAAGACATTTGCAAGTACCGCAACACATGTACAGAACTCTTCTTTCTAATTGTCATGATCACGTTATGCACTTGTCATGATCACGTTATGCACTTGTCATGATCACTTTTTGCACGTGTTGTTTGTTTCCCACATGTGCGTCTCGGATTGCCTTGTTTGTCTTTTTACACATACTGTCCACTTCTCACACCTGAATTTTAGTACCTCTATGCTTTGTTTCTGCTGGTTTGTTTGGTGCGTTGTCTTGATATTATGATAGTCTCCATGCCCTCCTCCTGATACCAACCGCATTCACAGTCTCCTTTCTTGCAATATTGTACCTCATGCCGTGTCTCTTTGGTGCCTCTCTCCTATCATCCATTATGTTTCCTTATCTTTGTCTAACTCCTAGTTTCGCCGGCCCTGTGAATATTGTCATTTGCCTCATCCGTCATCCTGAGGATGATTGCTGAGCTGGAGAACCTCAACACAGCCACTAAAGATTGAATGTGCCTAAACTCTCTACATTCCGCCGACAGCATTATGTGAGTTGGGGGTAAGCCGTATGTGAATGGCTAGCAGCAGAGACTACTACAAAGTGGTCTCAACTCCATGATTGAACTACAGCCTTAGGTGGAAGCCGGGAATGTGGATTGCCAGGGTCACACAGTGCTGAACATTTTTAAAGAGAGTTACCGGCAAACATGAGTGTAGGAATTAACACTCTATTTCGCTACTACTGGGAGAAGAACACGTTCCATTTTCAACTTGTCCCACACCTTAGGCCGTCATTTTTTATATCTATGTTTCGCGTCAGTTCAACTTCCAGAATCATATGCGAGAGGTGGAAAAAAATAAAAAAGTGCAAAATAATAAAAAGGCTCATCAGAGGTGTATAACTGTACATAGCACAATAGCTCGTGCATGGTGTACATTCGAAAGAAAAATCGTACATCGAAGCACAAAATCTGCATCACTTTGGACAGAGGAGGCAACCGTTGGTGCCCTTGCTTCGCTGGATTATTGTACTCAGCCTTCAGCAGCGGTGCAAAGAGCTCCGGAACGACGCATCCTCTCAGCTTGAAGCGATCGATGCGGTTTGTTGTAAGCTCATAGAATACTGCTCGCAGATGCCGAACAAACGATTTACCAACGCTGGCCTCGAGGCCATTTCTGAATCCCAGCTTCGCTAGTATGCAACCAGTCCACACTGATGACTCGCACGATCGTACACTAACTGTGCATGGTTGATTTTTTTATTTTTTTCCGAAAAAAATCAAAACGTATGCGGGCGGACGACGCGAAACATAGATATAAAAAATGATGGCCTTACACTAACAAGAAAATTTCAAACAAAAAAAACCCAGATTGGACTAGCAAAAGAACTCACTTTGGCAAGTGAGGAAGTGTGGAGGCTTGTCAAACACACCATTCCCGTGGCATGTTGACGTGAGGCTGAGCAGGCTGTTACTTCGGCAAGTGAACACAATCGACTCGTGCGGCTGCAGAAAGTGGCGGTCACTAGAGCTGGTGATCTGCGGGTGCTGCAGTCTTGCGAATGGGTTTTGGCAAGGCTTTCTCTCGTCTGCGTGCAAACTCACAGGAACAATATGCAGGGATTTATTGCCCCGACATATTTTAACGCATTCCTTTGTATAGTGATAGGGACAATAGAAAAGAGAACACCTTTTTTGTTGAAATGACACTGGAGTAGGAAAGCCGGTGGTGTGAGCAACACTGGCTCGACCTCAATCACTGTATTTCACAAATTCATCCAGGGAATATATATTATATGCAACGTTTGGTCACAGGAAATAACCATCATCACAAAGGAAGTGGGCACAGGCGGGGACGGAGTCAAAGTGAACACCACTGAGATGAACTAATATTCACACATGCGACATGGTGAAAATGGTCAGAAGAACAAAACCAAACTGCTACAGAAAATAGCACAGTACATGACAACTTGCTCTACAACATGACCCACGAGAAGCTATGTATCACAGGCGCTAAGTCAGGTGTTACAAATTAGTTCACCGTATTCTCCGGAGTATAAGCCGCACTTTTAAAATGCCCATAATTCACCCCAAAAAAGTCAGAGCGGCTTATATTACAATGGTCAAATGAATGGTGTTGTTCAGGGTAGATGTCTGGACTTTTGTGACAAAAAAATCTGGGTGCGGCTTATATTCCGGAAAGTGCGGTACTTGTGTTGTAGAGGAGTTGGTGCCACTGCATAGTGCTGCGCCGGTTAAGTAAAAGCCATCACATACTAACCAGTCACATGACCAGGCAAGGGTAGCACTAGCTGCCAGAAGCAATGGATGCCGCTGAAGAGATACCATAGCCCTTTACCTAGTTGTCAACTGATATGGTGTCTATATCATTTAGTTGAAATATTCAGTGTTTTGTATGTAACAGCCCGGACGAGAATTCAATACAAGACTTTGGCGTTGGTAGAAGTTATGGATGTCCCTTGTGGAAAGATTATAAGACTGTAGTGTTGTCTGGGTTATGTAAATCATTGCTAAGCTGATATATCATAGCATCATGGCCACAACCTGTTCAGTTTAAAAAAAATACATTACTTGACGATGATTACGTTGGCCAAATAGGCTGTTAGAGCAAGCTGAGAAGAAGACAAGTACTAACCTGTACAGTTGAGTCGGTGGATAGAGTGAAAGCCATCGCCGCCATCACCAGGGTCTGTGCAGCTAACCAGGGCAGTGGAGCGACCGGATGACAAACGGTACCCAGGACGACACGTTACGCGAACCCGATGTCCGAGATTGTGCCCCTGCTTTGCCAGAGCCATGTGGCGCTGCTCAAGGCTTGCCAAGAACTCAGCGTTCACATCACAACTGCCTGGCAATACACCGGCACATGGGTACATGCACATACTCATACTACACTCTTGCAAGTCATGCATAATGATGAAGTCATGCATAATGATGAAGTCATGCAAATGATGAAGTCATGCATAATGATGAAGTCATGCATAATGATGAAGTCATGCAAATGATGAAGTCATGCATAATGATGTCGATTGCTGTATTGGGCACTGTCACCGTGTGGTGGATTGGTATGTCCAATGATTTCAAAGCAAACTTTCTGCAGATTCAAGCCCTCCACAATCACGGCGCTCACGCCTCTGACCCGCCTAACATACAGCTACTGCTGGTCTGGTTGCCAGCAACTCACCTTTTTTCTACCCTTGAACGTCCCCTGCTGCATAGTTCTAAGCTATATAGGGCCATGCAATCAACAGCTTCATTGTACATACTAATGAGTGTCTGCTCTAGAATTTCAAACCAACCGGGTACACGTGTACCTGGCACAACTATTGCAGCCGGGTCAGAGCCAGCCGGGTCCGTTCAAGTGCGGCCACTGCATGTACACTGATATTACATCAGGCCCGCCGAGGGAGTTGTCAATATTTTAAGACTCCCTTATGTATAATGGTTTCCCAACCGGGTCACAGGTGACCCGGTGTTCTTTTTCCAAACGGGTTCGAGTACCCCCAAACCGGGTCGCTGACCCGGCTGACTCGGCTGTGGAGCAGACACTGCGTACTGCTATGCAATATGCATCCGGCACATTCCACCGTGATTCAGTATCGTCTCTTACCCTGTGGTCGACATGTTGGGTAAGCAAACAGAGGACCATTGCCTGTTTCATCGCGGGCTTGGTCTGCTGTGACAATGGCCTGCGTCCCGTGGCGGTGGTGTGCCCGATCAGCTACTGCAGACGATGGCGCAAGGAGCATGGCAACCCAGCGACCGTCCACGCAGCGAAAGCGGCTGCTACCGACCAGCGTGTGAGAACCTGGCGGGCAGGACACGTCTGCTATCAGCTCAGCTCCGTCCAGCCAGGCTACCGTGAGATTTGCGCTGTTTGCAGTCAGCTCAGCTACATCACATGAGACTGTTCAGGAGACAAGCAGGAGAGCAGTGCACGTGATCAGTAGAGCAGTCTTTCAAAATGGACAGTCAGTTTACGGTGTGCGATTCGGACTTGCTGACCAGATGGGATGGACTGCAGTAACATTGGATGCCAAAGCACGGGGATTGGGTTTTCCACTTCAATCTGGTGATATCGGATCCTCTTCTGTCTAGTGATGATCCGGTTTTCGTGCGGCACTTCAAGTTACTGTTATATCAAAATTTGCTTAAAACTGGACCCCCTTTCGTCATGCTACAAGTCGATCACTCTGACTTACCCTGCAGCGTGCATGTCGGTGTGGGTAGCCAGGCATGAGTCGCTGAGTGTTCCGCAGTAGCCTCAACAAAACTGCACGTCGAGCGGCCACGACCGTTCGGGACGAATCCCGGCAGGCAACTATACGCGATGGATGTTCCCTCGGCAAAGGCCTGAAAAGAGTCACGACCAAGTCTCTCCTGTACCAAGTACTGGCGGTGTACCACGCTTCCACTGTACTCTATCAGTGTTGCCTTGCATGGCTCTGACATGAGTTATATATAAAGACATACAGTGCAATATGACTTGCTGGCTTCATTAGTGAAGCAAATGCAGCAGACGTTGGCGATCAAGTGCATAATTAAACAACTGTTACAATACACATTCAGCGCACACAAAAGTAGCAGTGGCTTTCCTTTTCTTTTTCACCATCCTGCACCATTCGTCAAGATAATTCCAGCTGACATACCGCTTAGGATGGATAAGTTAGTGTTGCACCGATATTGTAACAACAGGTGATCCCTTTGCCCTTAATTTAAACTCAGCCCGGCTTTTAAAGGTATTGAAATATCTATTGAAAATGATCCCAGCGATAAGTCCTTTCCAAATATGGCTCACCTTTACAGAGATTGTCCATGGTGAGCAACTGATTCTCAGGTTGAGTAGAGATGACCTCCAGGCCACCCCAGCTACAGCGTACCTTGATGTGACGATCTCGGCGGTTTGCGCACCAGACCTGTGTCGTTTGGCCAAGTAGCAGATGGCTTCGGTTCACCAAGATGTTATGCTGAGAATCTGATCCCCTGCCTGCCATCGGCAAGTGGACATTGCCAGTGATTTCCCTTGCTAGTATGGTGCAGTGCTTCAGAGACTCTGCCAAAATCACGAGAATAATAGAAAGAGAGAAAATCGCCTGTTCCTGCTCCTTCTGATTGTGAATAGGCGTGAAACTCTGAGTTGCAACAGAGCCTCATCTCTCTCTCTCTCTCTCTCTCTCTCTCTCCCCCCCCCCCTCTCTCTCTCTCTCTATCTCTCCTGTGTGAAATAAGCATCATTTTTAATGAGAGAATGTTTTGGAATGAAGGAAACAATTCAGCAAGAGAGAACACCTGTCGGCAGAGTTGTGCCGAATTAACGTCAATCTTTGCAACACTGCTTGACTCCATGATGGACTTCACCAAAGCTGCTTTCTGAGCTCGAAGGTAAGAGCATGCACAGTACTAAGTAACATGAGGACAGGACAACACTCGGTGACACACTGTACAGATATGCACACTGCTTCAACTTGTCCACACGCTGCCATATACATTGCTTCCATTGGTTTCCGCACTTGTGCTGCACTTGCCCAGCTAGTGGCCGGCACTGACCCACGAGGTACTTCCAGCTTAGGCTACTGAGGCTGCGCTCACCCATACAGTCCCATGGCGTCAGGATCGGAACGGCCACTGTATACCGAACGATGCCACAATCGTGTGTCGGGGCTGCCCGCACTACACACAGACAGACCACCATAACTTGTTCACTGTATGATCGTACAATCCTATAGTGTGACTGCACACTGTATGATTGTATAATCCTATAGTGTGACTGCACACTGTATGATCATATAATCCTATAGTGTGACTGCACACTATATGATTGTACAATCATATAGTGTGACTGCACACTGTATAACTTCATACGCACATACCATGGTAACAGTGGAGCTTTTTGTCCCAGTCTGGTTTAGGCGCTCCACGAGACTGTACCGTTATGCTGCATGTTGCCACAATCGAAGCCTGCCGCCGGTGAGACTGTGTGGCATGCTGGTGCGGGCACGATAGTGTCGCTTCTGTGCCATCAGGATACAGAGGTGCGGCCATTCCGGGAATGTGAAGATGCGTCCAAATGCTGGTTTTGCTCTTCAAATAGACCTTGGGCGTGGCACAGAAATCTGTACAACAAAAACCCACATACCCAATAAGCAGCAGGGGACAGCAAGTTACTACCACTGAGCTGTAAGTGCGCATTCCCGTAAGACTGCCTGGTAAGTGACCGTAACAGAACCACACTTGAATAATTCCTACTATATGTAAGCCCAGGGCATTGGCCCCTGGGCATTGGCTTCGGGGCCGTGGTCATTGACCCTGAGACATTGGTCCCGGGACATTGGCTAGCATACCAGTCTTCTATGGGACAGCTCTCCTGACAAAAAAGAAATCTCGTTATTCTTGACGGGACATTGAATGTTTGGGACTGAAACATGTCTACTGCACAGTTCATGGTGGTGGCCCGACAAAGGTGGTTTGGACGGTTAGGGTACTTCAAAAATATAAAAATATAGCTGACACATGTACATGCACCCAGCCAGTTTAGGCATGCCTTCAAAATGACACTACATTGTAGTGGGGTGTGGACTATTTGTGCTGATGTCCGCTAGCATTGTGCTGGCTCGTCTGGTCAAAAGAAGAACCTACCACAACTAACTTTTTCGTGGTGTTTTTATTTCGCCATGGTTCGCTCTTCCTGTTGCTGCTCCTTCAAATGTTATCCTGTCATGGATAGCTTTTCATCCCTGGAAAACTAAGCTGAACCACCTTCCAACTGGTGAGTGGGAGTTAGACCTTGACCAATCAATCATGCACCTTCAAAGTGCAAGTCTACTCCACATTGCCCCAGAAAGGTTTAACAATGCCCCCCCCCCACACACACACACCGCAAAGAGCTTACAGTTACATGTCAGCTGGCGTCGTCCCTCAAAGTGACCATCCTTGCATTCCAGGTCCTCGGTTTTGTCACTGCGATATCTGCACGACAGAGTCATTGCATCGCCATTGGGTAACCGTGTCCGGTTGCCGAACTCCATATGCCTCTCCAGGGATCTCATCTCCTCCAAGCTGCAGCCTGTGTTTGAAAACAGAACATGGTCTTGCACAGAGGTGCTCACACCCTCATCAAAACCGGATCATCTTTGAGATAGCAACTTATCCAGGATATGAAGTACAGTGATGTACATGTACAACTATCAACTGTTGCACTGTAGTAAATAGTTACATACACAGGGTACAGGGGCGTCACACACGGTATGACCAGTATGACCATAGTCGTACCACTTTTCGTCCAGGATTGTCCGCCCAGAGCGCCAGTCATGGAGCGCTACTAAAACGTGCCCTGTTCACCGAAAAATCCACTTTTTGCCCAGGGGGCACCCCGGTCGTACCGCTACACAATGCCCTGTGACGCCCCTGCAGACTGAGCCGCAGATGCACTACTGGAGTCTGAAGTCGCAGCACTGCTTTTTTTCTATTATGCTGTGCACCTGATGCCATAGTCCGCATGAAAAACAAGTTCAAGTTGACAGAGCAGCATGTGAAGTTATGTATGATAGCAGACCAGGAATGGCCAGCACGTACATGTACACACACATACACACATACTCTCTCTCTCTCTCTCTCTCTCTCTCTCTCTCTCTCTCTCTCTCTCTCTCTCTCTCTCTCTCTCTCTCTCTCCCCCCCCCCCTCTCTCTCTCCTTCTTCGCCTTTCATACACCCGCACACACACACACACACACACACACACACACACACACACACACACACACACACACACACACACACACACACACACACACACACACACACACACACACACACACACACACACACACACACACACACACACACACAGACTGGTGGACAGATAGACACACTGCCAGGCAGGTAGACAAGCAGACAGGCACAGATGCACACAGATACAAATACACACACACACACACACACACACACACACACACACACACACACGTGTGTGCTATGGACATAAAAGGTGCTGCGGATAATCAATACTTAATTACCATTTTCAGCACAGACAGCCAGAGACATGCATCATTGGATGCACCAACTAGCTTCAAAGCGTTCAACTAGCAGTGTCGCCTGCCCTCTGGCCTTGGCACTGGACTAAGGTTTCATTGATTGCTGATGGAGTACAGTGACTCAGTGTTGCCACAAATCTCCCATGATGCACACAAATGTGTACACATCCCGCCAGAGTGCCAAGGAAGCGTAGTGCATCATGATTGTATAGGCTATGCTCAGCCACGCTACCAGGTCTGCAGTACACTTTGTCTTTGGTCCCATGGACGTAATGAAGGAAACCCTCAAGCCTGCAGTTGCTTACTCCATGGCCATCCACGTCATTAGTATGCCTACACCGCTACCACTGTGACTGCTGTTCCTCCGCCAATTCCATTGTAGTGCGCATGAAGCCAATCGAGCCACTAACAGCAGATATTCCTCACCGACACACACACTGGACAAACTCAGGACAGCATCCTAGATTTACTCCTAAGTCCTTACACCTGGGTCCGCTCAAGCTAGCGGATACAATGGGAAACTGAACAACTCAGACTAGAGCATACATAACTGTCAGGGAGCTCCACATGATGCACAGCTGTGTGAGCATGTACGAGTATACAAACAACGCATAATAGAAAACTGAACGCTTGATGCGACATTCTTAGTAGACTGTGCTCACCATAATACAGTCCTAATCCAATCCGCAGCGGGGTTTTTTTTAATCCCTTTATCAACCCGTTCTCCATCTCTCCTACCTAGAGTCGATACTAGTAGTAGCCTGGCCCTGTGATCTGGTGATCGTGGCCCGGTGATGGCTACAATGTTCTACTCACCGTCAGAGTGCCCAGGATCTTGCCGTGCCTGCTCAGAACTCAGCAATCCAGCGGAAGTCAGCACAACTAGGACGCGCAGAAGTCGCGGTGATGGCGTGGAGGGGACGAGCTTGCAGCTACCTGTCGCTTTACGCGCCTGCCGTCCCGGTCGCCGACCTCCAAGACGTGGTGCCGGACACGACGCGAAAGCCACTAAGTGTCCAAAGCCTGTCATCGTCCTCCGCAGTCCGGCGAGCCTGCAGTGAGAATTAGCACCCTTTGTCAGCGTGCAGTCGAGAAGGTGGGGGAAGCCGGGTGGTAAGCTACCAGCATGCACATCTCCTGATGTTGCAGCGAAGACGACAGTCAATACTAGTACCACTAGCACTAAACACTGGAACACGCTCGGTTTACGTTTGCCGTCTCGCCATCACATCATCACAATAGAATGCAGTCGAAACAACAAAATTACCAAACAAACGCCTCGTGTCGCCACTTGCACTTACCAGTACATGTACTCCCTACACTGAGTCTGTGCACTCTTGTCAATCGGCGAAAAGTTTGTGCTTCAGGCAGCAATGACTGAGTGCATGTCCGTTCAGCGTTCCTCGCCTGCCCACAAAGTGAACTGTATCATAGTGTATGACATCGTGGAGTACACATCAAGCTCGTGTTCAGGTTGCCGGCAATCATCATTGCGGTAAGCATTTTAGTTTGTGGCTAGGACACAGTGTACTAGTAGTAGTAGCAGTACGAATTAGAGGACATCTGGAAGGCCGCGTAAAACGAAGTTGACTTTTGCGATTGGTGCGTGCGCCCGCACGATTTGGCCGACATTCCATGTAGGCATTACTAGAGCCAAACATCAGCGGATTAGCATGAGCCCCCATTTACGGATTCCATGTGAACTCGACTACAATGTAGGGCCAATGCACAATGCCCTTGCCTGAAGAGGAGTGCGTAGAATCTGCATGTGCACGCATCGGCTGGTGTTTTCCGCAGGTGGTCGACACACACGCCACACAAGTGCCCACCGGTGCGTCAACAAACTAACTTAGCTTCCGCTCTCTGCATCACGTGATTTCCTCCTTGCTACCATACCAAGGACAGGTAATTAATGGGGCTGGGAAAGCTAGGGAAAGCGGACCAACGAAAGCGATGCGGCCCTTTCAGCGTTCTTTCTGCTCCATAATTATTATCATGATTTTTGCCGCGGATGCCCCAACACATGACGAAAGGCCTTGTTCACGACACCAACAACAGCATGAACGCGAAAATAGCTTTCAGGCGAGAGCGGTATAGCCCGACCATGGTGCCGACGCAGGATGGGAGGCTTCCGAACGCCGATATCCTTCCGGGTTAATGGTTCTGCAGCTCTGTACTGTGCTTCCTCGTTGCTGGATCGTGCCAAACAATGCCACTTTAAAATGGTTTGCTCGGGCAATCACGTGACAGCTGTACCTACTTACTACATCAGTCATGTACCTGCAATACCCCGATACAAGCCAGACTGACCCCATTAGTATTACAACGACCAGGGAGTCCGATACCCAAACCCTGGTTCGGGTATCGGACTCCCTGATAACCAGGGAGTAGTGTAGTACAATACTAGTCCCTGCTGATACGGGTAACTACCCTCAACATAACTAGTGTTATACCTTCAGGCTCCTCACAAACAACAATTTCAAACTGTATACATTCATGCCTTCTCATCAAGTGGAACACGGGCAAAGAGAGACTGACCAAGCGCAATGATTATTGTATACAGCAGGGATGTGATACCAACAGCACAAGGAAGAGTAGCCATTGTTCATAGGCCTTGGCGGATAATGACGGCAGAAAAATTGGCAGAATTCGGTACTTTTTCTGGTACGTTTCATGCATGTTTGGTATGTGGATAAAGAAATGGAGCAGAATTCGAGGAATTGCCCGCCATAAGGTTTGTATGGTTCTGCCAATTTCACTGCTTTTCGGGCAGAATCTGCCACCTTTTCGAGCATTATCTGCCAAGGCCGCCTAGTAGGCAAAAACAACAAGGAAAATGCGGGACCGCATAGGCTCATACACAATCATAGAAGGACTTAGGTATGGCAAAAAGGTGCAAGGGTGAAAATATAGTGTGAGAACAATAGACAACCAATGGACATAACTAAAGAATTGGTTGCATGGCGACCTGCATGCACCTAACAGCCCAAGTGTGACTGTAATTTGCTTCTACTTGCATGCAGGTTAGGTTTCTTCGTGTGAAACAGTCAGGTCACTGGTGTTTAGACGACGTCGCAATGGCAGGGAGGGAGGGAGGGAGGGAGAGAATTGTAAGATTTATTGGTCCAGTCTTTGATGTGGATGTTGCTCGAAGAATTGGCAGATTCCGCTCGAAAAGCAGTGAAACTGGCATGCACACCTTATGACAGGCACTTCGTTGAATTCTGCTCCAGTTCTTTACCCACATACCAAACATGCATGAACTGACATACCAGGAAATGTACCAAATTCTGCCAGTTTTTCTGCCAGCATTATCCACCAAGCTTGCAATGGCTACTTGAATATCCAGTAAATCTGTTACCCTGGCGACCACATACCATGCACGTGACTTTAAAAAACTTGAGTCATTTGACAAGCGACTTCTCCAATGTCGAGGATCACCTTAGCAAAGCAGAGAGAACTGAAAGACCTCCGGCATTCCTCAAACAAACAAAAAACAGGCTAACGAATGCATTGCAGTGGCCTGTTTTGCCTCATAGCGATACAAGTACATGTACCGTAAAGTACCGCCAAAGCGCCCCACCATCTCATCCTTTCGTGGTCGTATTGTGGAGGTGGTCTGCTGTCTGTAGGTCGGTCATACGACATGAACCTTGTACACATATTGCACGTTTTGCAGTCAATCCGTACCTTCAAGAGGACACAAGCTAGCGCTCCACACAAAAACCTGCCAAGTGTGACCTTAGTACACTAAGATTCTCACATCGTACACACTTCGTTGCACTCTGCCATACGATTTTCCTTTCTCTGGCTGTAAAATCAAGGTGGGGCGCCGGGCGCTCTCGCGAGACGGGGCGCTCTGTACATGTACCTGTATCAGCAAGAGTACATGTACATAAGCCGTGGTTTATGTATCAGGGACTTTGTTTGTTTTCTTTATTTGAATTCGCTAAAACCAAACGGACATACTTGGCCTCTGTCGGGGACGTTGGGTCGATGAGTGAGCCATGAAAATCCGGTTGCTGGCCTGGTTTTTGTTTTTTTTCAACTCCACATAGCAACAAGCATGCCCAACACACAAGTAAGTGCACTTGACCAACAAGCAACTGTGCTGATTGTGATTGTCAGACGACGCCAACAGATCACAACATACGCCATTGCTAGAACATACGTGCTCGTGATTGTAATGATTTAAAAAAAAAGAAGAAGATAATAATAATTATGACAGCAAGAAAAGTAAACTCGCTCCGCGAATACAGCAGAAGGCCATGCAGAGCAGTGATGACGCTTCCAGTCACGCACAACAGTTTTAAAAAATCAACGTGCGTGCCACGAGATAGGTATAAAAGTCAAAGTAAACGAGCCAGGGCTTCAACAGATAATACAAAAATACTACTCTAGTGTAATAACATGGTAATCTGTGAAGTGGAGCTGCCTCCTCGCATGATGTGCTGCTTCTTATGCACTGGGTTCACACACTAGAGGTGCATGTGGGCACGGCGGCAGGGAAAAAAAAGCCACAGTTATACATCAAGCCAATCCTGTGGCTGAAAAAGAAAATGTCTGCGCCATGCGGCTGCTGGGATCATACACTGATACAGGCACTACTGCTTGCTCAAAGTCGACAAACACACCTCCAAGTACACAAGTGCGCATGCATGCAAAGACACACACGCACCCATATACGCGCATGCATGCAGGCATGCAGCCCCGCACTAATTGCAGGGCACTTTTACAAAAGAAGATTTTTAAATGCGGCCGACAGAGGCCAGCTGAACGGGGGACATTTCACTGCTTGATTTCATGGAGATGCAGGCGACCGATCGCTGGTGGAAGGAAACTTTCTCAAAAACATTGGTATGAACAGATTGTGGGACAAACTGTGGGACAGCATGCAGTGTAATTATGAAAACATGGATATCACCATGAAGAGGAAGGGATGAGGCTGCAGCTGAACGAGATCGTATCATCCAGACACTGCTGCAGGATGGTAGGTGCTCAGTGGAATTTCCAATAGCAGACGCCGCCAAGGATTGCCAGTTCCAGCAGGATGATGATGATCATAATCAGCTTGTTGGTGAGTACCCTGGATAGCATACCACAGCACACAGCACACAGCAATATACATCGCGGCTACAGAGGTCAACAACCAGACCCGGCCAAGGTATTGTGTGTGCCACACCGATATTGAGTGATGCATGCATGTGGCCAAGGTCATGTGTGACTGCATGCATGTGGCCGTGCGAGGAAACTGAGCACACGCACGCCTGTCAGACTGGTGTGGTCCCAGAGCGTGATTTGACGAAGCTCAATTGTCCAACACATAACTGGTCATGCTGATAAAAGAGAAGGACAAAATGTTACGAGTTCAGTTATGACTAACTGTCCACCAACGTAACCAGATCTTGTACAGTCAGCGAGTCTCAGTACTCCTTGTCAGTTTTGTGCCATTTTGTCGCACTCGCTGACTGTAAAAGATCTGGTTACGTTGGTGGACAGTTACCGTAAAGTCGCGGATAAAAGCCGGGTTTGCATACAAGCACATCGCGGATAGAAGCCTGAAAATCAAACGGGTCAAGTGCATATAAGCCTGTCGCGCGTAGAAGCCTGGCTTCTATGCAAGCGCGGATCGGGTAGGTCAAGAGTGCATGTGCTATGTACAGACTGCATAGTAAAACTGCCACCATACCGGTAGTCAGTGGTAGATCTACGCGTGTCGCGCGTAGAAGCTTGGCTTCTAAGCAAGTGTGGTGCATATAAGCATGGTTTGCATTCAAGCCTGATGCAGAAAGCGGCTTATGTGCTTATAGTTATAAGCCCGGCTTTTATCCGCGACTTTACGGTAGTCATAACTCGTAACATTTTGTCCTTATCTTTTTTCAGCATACTTATTTGGCTCACAATCCGAGTTCAACATAACTGGTCATTCGCAAGAATATGGCATAGGATATATATTTTTCATACTTTATGACATAGGAGCTGTGCAACGGAAAGCAACATAGTAGCAGCATGGACATTCCGCGGTGAGGGATAAAAAAAAAAGCTCCCAAAACGAACATTAAAGTGAATGGTGGCGGGGGAGAGCGACTGCTTTCCTTAACACCTTGAACAAGCACCTGCCACAATACATGCAAACGTCATTTCACTAGTTGAGGGAATGGAAAAGGGAAAGGCAATTTCAGTATTTTTTTATTATATGCTGGGCAGAGTTTTGGCACACACACACGTGTTTATTAGATTATTCGATTTTCACAACCGTGGGCTTCCTAGAACTTACCGCCTTGCCAGGCCCTGGATCAGCTTTCGACTGCGAGACATTTCCTGGTCAGTTTCAATCACCTGGGCAATTACAAGAGAAGAGCAATGCATGAACATGTGCCATGTACATTATGTCGCAAGAGAAGCAAGCAAATCTGCAAGTGCACTAGATGAGAACCCACGAGTTTCCTCTTATGCGAAACAGATCAGACTTGCACGAAGTAACTGCACAATTCGCAGAACTGGACTGGCAAAGCCATGTGAATCGACCCCCGATGCACACCTGGTCTACACCACACGGAGTACATGCACATTGGATTAGACAGCCCCCCCCCCCCCCCCAACACACACACATACACACACATGCACACACACGCACACACGCACGCACATGCACACACACACACACACACACACACACACACACACACACACACGCACACACATGCGCAAGTAATCACAGCGTTAGTTCCGACAAAAATGCGTGTACTTGTCCCCAGCTGTACTTACGCGATCGCGGGCATTGAGAAGCTGCTCCCGCTGGCCATCCAGCTCACCTAGGATTTCAACACCGATTTGGTCTGCACACAAGTCATGCAATGGGGAGCAAGGCACAGAACAAAGTTGTACTTACAAGCACATTGCCTATTATAACCATAACCATCTTGGGAAGTGCCAGTAGTCTGAAGTGTATGTTGTATTTAAAGCGTTCTATGTGCTTGGGTTAGAGGACACAGGACATACGGCACAACAACGGTGATCACAGTCCTAGGCAAGTCTCAAATTGTCTGATGATGTGCTGCGTCGTGAGTTGACGCTACAGCCCCGTATGCATGCAAGTAGAGTAGATGTACCATGTGCTTGGAACACTATAAATTGATCGTGTTGGTGTTGATGCAGTGCTTCAGAAGTAACAGCATGGGCCATCAGTCCAGCTATAAAACCTCCCCCCCCCCCCCATGCATGCACCCGTGTGCTGAGATTGGAGAAAAATAGCTCTACCAGGAGACATCAAATCCACTACACAGACACCACTGCATTATGTGAACAACTGACCGGTCTCGGCGGAGATCTGATTCGACCGTGCTACACTCTGCGACGCTCGCTCTAAGGCGTTAGTGCCTTGTAGCAGCTGACTGCGCTGCTCATGTTCCAAATGCTGCACGGAAAAACAAAAGACATAGGGACCCCTGCCGTAAGAAAACATCGCCTAAAAAATAAAATAAAAAAATCCACAGTTCGCGTTGGACTCGGCTGGAGACCGAATTTTCCGCATCCGCTGGGACGCCACCACCCTCACAGATCAAGGCGCAGATGCAGCTCCTAAACTGCGGTGGGAGGTGAGTAGATCAGACCCACCACCAAAGTGGCCAAACACCGAATATCCCATTCGCAGTGTCCATTGCCTAAGGAGACAGCTATTTCGGGACCCCAAAACATGCTGCACACACATACTTCCGAATCTGCGTATGAAGCATAAAGACCACCTGTTTGCCAAGATTAGTTTTCTGCACTCTATGACAAGGTCAGAAAACAGAGATACACGCAGGACTGTAATGACATAACCAGAGGAGAACACTCCAAACACTCCAAACACACCGAACACAGCAAAAAGCAATGGTACTGAGACAACGCCAGGCCACATCAAAATGGACATAGCGCACAAATGCAATGAGACTCATGAGTCGTCTGTGTGGTCATCCTATTGTCACAAGAACCTACTGACCAGGGTGAGTAGTAAAGTACCGGTATTTTACTACTCCCTGCTACTGACACTGACACAAGCGACACACGGCACAAGTCACTTACGTTGACTTCATTTGGTCGAGAGTATGCTGGTCCACCTGCACCACCAGGTGCCGCGCTAGTCAATTGTTTCTACCCATACGTACACACACACACACAGACGCAAGCACACACATGTACACGTGCGTCCACACGCACACATACACCACACAGAAAAGCAGGATGATGTCGCTGGCACTGGTTCATAAGACACGATCTGACCATGGGCGCACAAGCACTTGTTGAAATGCACAACAAGACTCTGCACAATACTCCATGTACAGTTTGTGTCATTATACCATAAAGTGAACACAACTGTAAGACTTTCAAAAACTTCAATTCAAAAGAGATGTGGCCATCGGAATTAGCCACCAGAGCACTTCTATCTACACTACTATTACACAAAAGTTGGAGTCACACTTGCACCAGGCTCTCAAATCCAGATTGCAAGATGGCCCCAAGTGAAGAGAACAGGGAGAGACACCACCGAAGGATTCCACAAAACGTGGCTTACCAGGCTTTGCCGTAGTCTTGTGAAGTCGCGCTTGTAGCTGCGGTACTTGTTTCCCATCTGTGTGCGATAGCTCGGAGGGGCGTGCTGCAGCTCTCCATCCATATCTCCCAGCTGGATAGTACAACACCAGGAACAGGGGCAACATGGTTGGCCAACACTGTTCTATCAATGATAACGATAGGGCGCTAACAGTTGCTATTTAAATGGTACACGTGTGCGATAGAATGTGATACGGGCGCAGATGCGAGAATAGACACACCAAAAAAATCGAGCCACTAACCAGGTGCTGGCAGTCCTCGGCCTGCCTCTCTGCATCTCGCGCTGCCGATCTTCTTTGTTCTGCACGAAAAGAAACGCAGACAGTTCTCAGCAAGGTCCGCGAAAGATCAAATCCAGCTCTCGCACAGCTGTGTGCCACACCGGTACGGAGTGATGCATGCATGTGGCCAAGGTCATGTCCAGCTCGCGCATAGCTGTTATCAATGATATCATTTTTTCTTACCACTGTGTCGGCTCTCAGCAAATGAACTATATTGTCCAGGTGAGTTGTCATAGCTGGGGCTTACTGAACCACTATTGCTAACGCAGAACTGCAGAAGAGCTTCCTGCTCAAGTACATACCCAAGGATTGTGATCTAGTAACAGAGGGTGAAGGAACTTCTCACTCTGCACAAGTACCAGTGAGCAAACCGATTTTAAATGCCCTGTCCCTTATACTAGTGACTATGCACAATGAAACCTGTCTAAGGCGACCACTCAAGGGACCTTTAAACTGTGGTCTCTTTTAATAGGCGGTCTCCTTATGCAGCACCCCCTGGTCCTGGTTGCAATGGTCTTCAGGGACAGGTGGTCGCCTTATCCGAGTGGTCGCCATGACAGGTGTTTACTGTACCAGTATTCAATGTACATAAGCCTCGGTTTCGCCTCTGTCATCTTTCAATTTTCAATCTTCTATCTGAGAGTGCTGGTCAACCAGCACCTCAGTTTCGAGCAGCAGGTAGGGTCAGTTACTGCGGATGTCAGCAGCCGCAAGCTCGCCGCACACGGGAGGGTATGGCAGCATCTCACTGTCCGAGCGCATCGTTCCTTTTTTATCTGGCAACTCAACCTCAGACATATACTTGAAATAATTATCTAGCCACCCATTGACCATGATGCTACATGAAGAGACAATAATGATGACGTTTTTCCCAAGCCAAGGAGACCAATTTTACGACGCTCCACGTCACCGAAGTACTAACTTTGATCATTGGTTTTGTAGAGCCCCATTCTCTAGGAGATGTCTACATCTGCTCTGTTTCAATGTCCAGCATAAGCGAACGTGTGGATCAAGCATATTACTGCTTGGTTGACGCTGCCGTGGTAATGCGTATAATTATTATAATATACATGTCCAGTCCACCCTGGAATAGACAGGCAACTGCTGCCTGCATGCAATCTCAACAACTATGTACGACAAGCTAGTTCATTGTCTCAAGCGGAGCCTTAGGATAACGTTTGGTTGTCCGCCATGCCACCCAAGAGCCACCAAAGCATTCCTCTCGCCACCCGCTATAACTAAAGATATGGTTAGCCTTGTCTATCAATGTGTACATGGTCACCGCCGCAGCCCACTGCTTGCTCAGCTTTTTGTTCCAAAATCAAATGCGGACCACATGGAAGCCCCGACTAGTCTAGAGGGCAGACCGCTCTCACTTTAGCCTTGCCTAATGCTTCTTCGCGCCACGGTTTCCATGCTTTGCCCTGCCTGGCAGCGGACAGGTGGAATTCTATCCGACTCCCGGCAGGCAGCTTCCTTTGCCATATTTAACAGCCCTTTACGCAAGCTCTTTTGCCTGTGACAAGACTAACAATTGCAATCGCCTGTAGGGATTGCCCTGGTAAAAAGACCCTGGTTGCGACTAAGACGGCACTTGTGCAGCAACCCGCTATACCAGAGCACCGCGCCACAGATTGGGCCGCCTGGCCAACGGAACTGGCCCGGTTGCTACAGAACAGGCATAGCTGGCTGCAGCCGAGAAGAAGCTGGCTAGCACAACGTGAATACATCACTATTATTCGCCCGAGAGGCGAACCGCGACCAATCGGTGTTAAAGGGGAAGTCCGGTGAAAAATTTAAATTTCACAGTCCGTAGAGTTCGGGTCGCTGAGTCGAATGGTCTTTGTCCGAGGAGGCTGCGGCCTATGGTTCGTCAGATACGCCCAATCGAACATGTGCGAATTTAAGCGCGCATCACCCAGATCCAGGTGATGACGTCACAGCGTGCAGCCAGGTAGCCACACCATCTAGTCGTGTACAAAATGGTCATATTCGGAGCGCGTTCGATTGGGGAACCGTTTGTCGCAGCTTCTTCGGACCAAGACCATTCGATTCAGTGTTACAAACACTACGTACCCTGTGATTTGCAGCTCGGTAAACCTCGAGGTTATACCGTATTTTAGCCCTTTCCGAGTTGGACTTTTTCCGTCAGTGCTCTACGGCTCTAGTAGTAGCAAGAGTATAATTTTACTCTTGGTAGTAGCAATGCGCTGCGTGCATGCTAGCTGTAGTGCAGTCAACAAACTCATCACACACGGAACTACTCCCGCACTGCCGTGCTGGGCTAGCTACAACAAGACTCGAGACACAAGACTCAGAAAACTAGTCAACACACGGACTTGTCATGTACTACACTCGTATCAGTCGTATTGTACAGTCATGCAGTCAGAGAACGTGCGTTTCTCCTTGCCGGTGCCGGTGGTTGTGCTTTGAGAAAGAAAATTTTAGTTTTCCGCTCCAGTCCGGCCTCATTATTTTATGCTACAGCGATGAGTGCACAACCGTGACAAGTGACAAAACAGCGAACAGCTCTCGGACCTAGAACTTTCAGATTCCATAGCGTTGCAAGCGAAGAGCCGTGCCCATGGTGCAAAGAGCCTGCACTGTTCTCCAATTGAGTAGTCCGAAATATGCCAAGTTCGCACCAAAACATCACCATGTGGCAGGCTACTGGAGTCTAAGCGAATCGGTATGGAACAACATCTAGAGCACTCGCATCACTCTTCTCCATTTTGGCGACCCTGCTCTCCAGCGATCTGATAATTATATCAGCCTCGTCTGCAATAGCTGCTGCTTCTTCATCAGTCGGAAACTCAGTAGCGCTCACTCTTGACCGGCCCGTGCGGCCATTTCTTCAGCTGAATACCGAGGTTCTCAGCCCCAGACCAAACTCATGAAGGTCAGCCATGGCTGCATCCTCACTCTCACAAGGAGTGTTAGGTCTTCGGGGTCGCTTGCACCACCATTATATCAGTCGCCAAATCATTTGAAATAGCACTGACACTATTGCTTTCACGCGCTCCTTTTGACCTAGCTGCACGCTATGACGTTGCGGAGGCTGTGGCGCAGCCGCATGACGTCATGGCGCACCCCCGAAACTCAGTTTTTCAAACGGAAATATCTCGAGAACGCTTTGTCGGGGACACGTGGGACCAACACCATTCGACTTAGCGCCCGAAACTCTACCGACCCTGAAATTTAAATTTTTCACCGGACTTCCCCTTTAAAAAGGGGGGACGGGAGGTTCAGAGGGTCAAAAAATGAATTTCTGAGTTTTGAACTTTTTGCTATGGAATCTTGTCTTAGGATATTTGAAGTGCCAGAATTTCAAATTTGAGCGTAATCGGTTCAGTAGAAGTGGAGTTATGAGCTAAAGTATGTCGAGATAAAATTAATTTCAAATGTAAATACTCAAATGTTTACAATTGCCTAATTTTGTGATTTTGGTTTAGTCCAAAATCAAGCGTTTTTGATTCAACTTCGCCAGGTAAGCGACCCTGGCTTCTGTTTTTGTAGTCATGGAGAGCTGCCACGTGCTTCCTTGATCGCGTATGACGTTCTGCAGCGCCACGGCGGCCACGCGAAGGAAAAAATCTTTGTTTTTTTTGTTTGTGATCGTGAAAGTGAACATGGGGAACCGAAAGAGAAGCACCAGCAGCTCTGGAAGTGGCCATAGGAGGAAGAAAAGGAGATACTACGCCCCAAAGCAGTCAAGCTCTGTACCAGTTGTGGAAGAAGGCACCGTTGAAGCGGCGCAGAGCGCTTCCTCTCGGAAGATTTCGTCGAGGCCAAAATGGCTTAGTGATATGGTCATGGAATTCGAATCTGAGCTTGTGTGCTCGAGTGACAGTGATTCAGACGAGTCATCCAGTGATAGCTGCCAGGAGTATGATGATGATGCATTCTATCCTGATGTTGAGGAGTCTGTCTCTGGCTACAAGATCGTGGATTTACAGTGTCTCCAGGAACTGATGGATCAATTTACTGTCTGTAGGAAGTGCACGAAGGGAGACATGATCATCAGTAACTGTCATGACACTGGACTTGGATCGACCCTGCGACTTCAATGCGCTTTGTGTGGACACAGTGGAAGTACGTCTCTGAGCAAGAAAATTGGCAGGAGCTATGATCTGAATCGACGATCTGTACTGGCGATGCGATGCATTGGACGTGGCCATGGTGGACTCCGAAAGTTTTGCGGCGTAATGAATTTTCCTCCTCCTGTAACGGAGAAAGCCTACCGCAGCCACCAGGAAGTTGTCCTTGCTGCAGCCGTAAAGCTAGCTGAAACTGACATGGTTCAATCCGCAGCTGAGTTGCGTGCCATGACAGATTCCACCCACGTCGCAGTGACGTTCGACGGCACTTGGATGCGCAGGGGATATTCGTCGCTGTATGGTGTGTTCGCGTGCATCTCCTTCCAGAGCGGCCGTGTACTGGACATCACAGTGAAGGGTCGATACTGTCACGAATGTAAGATCTGGACTGAGAAGAAGCGAAGTGGTGCAATCACGGAGGAAGCCTTTTCAACCTGGCTGGATAATCACAAGTGCAGCATAAACACAGCGGCATCTGCATCCGGTATGGAGAGTGAAGCTGCGTGCGATATTTGGCAGCGGTCTGTGGGCACACGCGGAGGCCTCATGTACACGTCGTACATCGGAGATGGCGACTCCAAAGGCTATAAGAAGGTGTGCGACCTGGACCCTTATGATGGTGTTGCCATCAGCAAGGAAGAATGCATAGGCCATGTGCAGAAGCGTGTTGGCAATAGGCTCCGGGAACTGAAGCGGCAACACAAGGGCATGAAGCTGAGCGATGGCATCGGTCTCAGTGGAAAGGGCCGTCTCACTGACAGGCAGATGGAGCGTCTCCAGACCAATTATGGCAATGCCGTCAGGAGGAATGTCGGAGACCTGCAAGCAATGGCCAAGGAGATCTGGGCTGGGCTCATGCACTGCTGCTCAACAGATGCTACGCCGCAGCATCAATTCTGTCCGGAAGGTCCAGACTCGTGGTGCAAGTGGCAGCAGGCGCAGAGTGGTGCACGCCAAGCTTATGAGCATAAGAACCCTCTCCCAAAGGCTGTGTTCGAAGTCGTGAAGCCCATCTACATGCAGCTGTCCGAACGAAGTCTGCTGGAGCGCTACCAGATGGGTGCAACGCAGAATGCGAACGAGTCGTTCAACAACGTCATTTGGAGAATGTGTCCGAAGGAAGGCTTCTGCTCCGTCGACACCGTTCAGCTGGCAAGTAGTTTGGCAGTGCTCAACTTCAACAACGGCGCTATCACCTTGCTCAGTGTGCTGAAAGAGTGTGGATGCATTGATGGCAATCACACGAAGGCAGCGCTTGAGCTAGAAGACCAATGGCGTGTGAAGAAGTCCCTCCGCAAGTCATCAGCAGTGGAAAAGGAGAGCAGGAAAAGGAGAAGGAGGCAGAGGAAAGGCTGAGAGGAGACCACTATTGAGAAAGAGGGCACTACATATGACAAAGGTGGTTTCTGAATGGCAACTTCAGGTCAGATATGTGAAAATATTTCAGTAGCACTCCACTATCAGTCCTTTTTATGTAATTTTTAGGTGCATTTTTCACTGATTTTAGGGGTATTATGGGCACTCCGCGCAGTTTTTTAGAAATGCTGTACATATCTTGTATGTAAAAGTATATATTTTCTGGTTCTGTACGGTCCATTCTAGATCCGTTGCCTTCTTAGGACACAAGATCTTCTGTTAGAAACAAAATAATGGACCTTGAACTTCAGTCAAGTTATCTTGCGCACGTGCATTGTTATTTCAAGGCTGCAGTGGCACACCATTGGAACTGTAATCGCATTGTGCTTAGGCAACAGCCCTAGCCCCTTGGTACCTGATCATTTTGCAGTGTTATGTGTTTATCTTCAAGTGACCATGTTTGAGAAAAACTGCGCAGAAATCATGCCCGGCTATCGCATTTTTTCCAAAATTGCTTTCCTGCATTTCTCCATGATACCAGTATACTTTCCACAGTTCTTGGTTGCAATGTCGTCAGTGGATGTCAAGGAACATATACTGAAAATTTGAAGGAATTCTGATGTTTGAGTGCTGAGATTCAAGCGAATTTATAACGGGCACCGCAAGATGGCCAGCGAACCTCCCGTCCCCCTTAAATTAATTTAACCGGCATTGCTACCTAATTGCTCTAAACGCAGTATTAAGGAGTCCATCATTACTGTCCATGTACAGTATAGTACACAGTAACCATGGTAACAGGATCGGACATCACAGTCAATGAATAAGAGTTAAGTCGCGACGCATTTTAATACCAATTATGTACAGAAAGTAGCAACAGCATTTCTGTCGCGTACCGCCAAGGCTGTGCATCTACATTGCATCAAGACAAAATGAACTACCCTATTTTCCGCAGTATTGGCCGCACTTTAAACAGTCGCAATTCTTTCAGAAAGGTCAGTGTGGCTTACCATGAAATACAGGGTAGATGTCTGTATTTAGGAAATTAGAGGCCACATGCCACGTGGCATGTGGCCTCTAATTTCCTAAAAACTTTGAAATTCTCCGTGAAGTCCAAATTTGAAATTGCAATGTCTGTATTTCGTGACAAAAATCTGGGTGCGGCTTATATTCCAGGCGAGGCTTATACTCCGGGAAATACGGTAAAATCTCATCCATTGACTGAGATGTCCTGTACCCTGCTACTGTCAAGTGTACATGGACTCCATAGTTATACGTGTAGCAGTGCTAGTAGGTGTATTACATACTGAGATCATTATACACAGCGCTGCTATTCTTTATCAACACATGTATTGCCACCACAACACAAGAAGTAAGTACTAGAATAGTCACAAAAGGAAGTAAATAGGGCTTCCTTTTGTGTACCTCTTGCGTACTACACTCTGTCCATTCCGGGCATTTGAGCACTATTGCAGGTTAAGGCGCACAGCCTCGGTGTACTAGAATAGTCACACAGCAACGACACAACCAGGTGCTTGTTTGCTGTTACTCAGAGTTCGAGTTTGAAAAACACTAATAACGAGTGATCGAAACTCGGATGCTGAGCCAATAGTAAAGTAAGAAGAAAGGAGTTACGAGCTATGACGAACAATCCACCAAGGTAACGAGATATTATGCAGATATTATTGTCCGATGGTCTTGCTAGTCTCGCCATCATCATCCTGTAACGTCTGACATTCTTTGTCGCCGAGGACATAGCTCGTGCACATCTCCGCGGCGCATCCCTTCCCCTCATTAGAACTTTCCACACCCGAGCCTTCCAAATTGCAAGGTTGTAGGGTTGCGCTTCGTAGATGTGTTGGAGCTAGGTGCCAGGTCGTCGAATATCTCAATATCCCTGTCAGTTTGTGCCTTGTCGCACTATCTGCCTGCATATTATCTGAGAATTTATTTCATTACCTTGGTGGACTGTTAGTCATAACTCGTAACTTATTGATGAGTGATCGGACAGTAATAAATTCTATATACACATTATTCGATGGCTAAAAGCAATACTGATGACATTTTGGAGATAATTACCTCCTGACAATTTGGGTATCTTGTCCTCGACCAGTTTTCTCAATGAGTCAAGGCTCAACCTGAAGTCATCTTCGATGTCCTCAAACTTTTCTGAAGACATGGTGGCCTACTCTTCCGCGTCTCCGCTCAGCTGTTCAGTGCTAGGAAACGCGAAGTGATGACTACTATAGTAGATCTACTCACGACTGGTGATAAAGATAATTCGTGAAATTCAAATGTCTGGGGGGAGATCAAAATTTCACCATGCACTCACTCCGAGCGTCAGCACCTGGTGCCAGTGGAGACTATGGCTACCACATAGGTGGAACAAGTAAAGGTAGACGGAGCGAAATGAACTCCTAAGCTGGGAGAAAGGTACACGAACCTCAACTCTAAAGCATGCGAAGACAATAACAAAATTTAATTATAACAGTATTTCCTCAAAACAAACTGTTGATGTTACAAGTCAATAGACTGACGTCATGACATGATAGAGTCTACGTAGATCTACGTAGCTACGTAGACGCTGAGGACTCAGCACTCAGCAGTGTCAGCTCAGGAGTGCAGTGAGGAATCCACTCTGTGAGTCTGACATAAACACATAGAATTCTCGAATTAGGAAAGAAAATCGATTGAAAACTTCAACTTTTGGTCTAGCATAAGAAACACGTGACTGTCACATAAACACTTCGATGATGACGAACATGATAACACCAAGAGTAGATTATCTACTCTTGATATTATAAACACTCATTAACAGGGCGGCCGAGTCCCGAGTCCCGAGTACCAGACTACACTACGACGGAGAGTACGAGTTTCAGTCACTGAGGCGGTGTTTACATGATCATGAGGCGTTTCAACCCGGGTTGAGTTCGACCCGGGTCAGATTTCAACCCGCCATGTGCATAAAATGAATTGCGCGTTTACATGACGCATTGCGCTTGACCCGGGTTGAAATTTCGCCCCGGGTTGATTTCAACCCTCCCCCCAAGGGGAGGGTTGAAATCAACCCGGGTCAAGAAAATCGTACAAACGTACTTCTGTGCGTATCTCGCGCCAGGTTTGAACGGCACTGCAGATTTTTTTTTTTTTTTTTTAGTAGTAAAAGCCTCTTTTACGGGCGAACAAAACACAATTTGCCATGGCGGAGGATTGAAAACAAATCACATAATGATGACGTCGCATGTGATCAGACAGCAAGAGAAGCATAGCATAGTCCGCACAATCACGGGGCAAGGCTCAACGGGACACCCTAGCCTCCATGACAGCCAGGGAGGCACAGCCATCTGTAATAGGTCGCCGAGTGGTATCAGGAGGCACACACAAGAAGACTGGTTAATATTATGTTCTTCGGCTCAATCTGCCTGAAGTTATGTATACAACTGCTCCGGCTCAATCTGCCAGGAGGGACTCTGTTCTGTTCTGTTATGTTCTGCTCTGCTCTGAAGAAATGAGTAAAGCATGGCAGCTTTTATAGGGCGAAAAGGAAGGAGATCATCATAGAGTCTGCATGAGCCATGAGTCATGAAAAAGGGCAGAAGTCTGTTGTGTCAGTCCAAACAGAACTTGGGAAGGCATAGCAACAGTATCTAAATGTATGAAAGAAGCAAACGGAACTTTGGAGGAGAACAGAGGCCAGGGAGGGCATTGGCAAATGGATGCAAACAGGATCTAGAAAGGGTCATGACTGTCCGCATGACCTCAGCCAGGGTCAGGGAGGTTCAGTACAACATGTGGGTGTTAATTCTACATGTACATACAGGTGTGATGATCTAAACTAGCAAAGATATGTAGTATGCAATCCAGCAAGCGCAAGGGAAACACAAGTGGTGAGAAGTGATATAATTAGCTTTGCAGGCTTGTCAGCAAAGGAGTGACAAGAGTCATGCCGTGCGTGTACGTGTACATGTGACATGATTAGAGGTAAAAATAGATGTAGATGTAGTAGTCAGCTACAGTTCAGTACTATCAAGGCAGGGATACTACACCCTCCCTTCCTACAGATAATCACGCCCTCGTGATTTTTCCAAAGTATTAAACAAGGCTTGGTAGACTGATAATAAAGTAGGGACCCTGTGTGTATAATGTGTGAAGGATTTGCGTTTCTGTGAAGCTGGAAAATGTACATGTATGTGTTCGCGTCTCAATACATGTATTGGACGGTACAAGGGACGTGTTCCATCGCGTCACTCTTATTGTGGACGGTAAAACTTCTTGACTCTCGTCTCTCTGGGACGGTTCAACCGAAAAGGACTCGCTCACCATGTGGCGGTTTAATCATTGTTACTTGTACTGGTTATTGGAGTGCGTGCTTGCGGGATATACTGTATTTTGGGTCTGAAACGGATTGCTTGGTCGGAACGGGGTAGACATGATCGGGATGGGTAACGAAAAGGCTAGGACACTTTGTGGTCAGACCGGGGAGAAAGCGGTTGTAGGGGAGTGTCAGTGGGACGGAATGTTGGGCGATCTAAAACTGGGTAACGCATGTATCTGGACGGACATGAAGGTATATGGAGGGTTGTGAGTCCTAGGCTGTTGATCGAATGGTGTGACGGGGACTGGGGCTGGGATTGTCTGTGGGATGGAGTGGCTGAAGGAACGTGGAGGGCCTTGTGTATCGCGTGTAGTGTAGCAAACACACTAAATGTGAGAGATGTTAGCAGGGGAACAACTTTGGCAGCAGAACGAGTTAGTGAGAGGAATATGGCAGCGAGGAGCATCAGGACAGAATGGAAACTACTGCTGGATGGGGGAGCTTGCATAATACGCGGCGTAGCTTGCACGATAGGGGTGGCATGTGTACTAGTAACAGTTGCATTTGACCGGGTTGATGATTGAGTAGGGATAGAGCAAGAATGGTGACATACCTGGGTTGAAGAGAAGATGTGCCGTGTATAGCAATACGCAATGGCATGGCCAATCTGCTTGCAAAATCGGCAATATGGGCGAAGACGAAAGGGCCGACGTCGCTTGGGTCGTACATATACCGGTGGCTGTAGTCCAGGGACATACCGGGCATGGGAACTCGCTGAAGAATGATGGTGATCCATTTTGCCGAAATGCGTACGTGACGGCGTCGATCTGCTGTATGGATGGACTGACGAACCGGGATTCTGCATCGTTCTCAGGTCGTCATGGGTTCAGAAACGCGGTGGGGTCCAATTAACGGTGCTTTCCGCTCATCGTTCGAGGCTGCCATCAATGTAATAGGTACTAACAACGAGACTAACGACAACGATTGACTAAGGATGGTAACAACATAACAAGACTGAAGTTGCGTAAACAGATCTACAGGGACGAATTCACGCACCGCTGCCACCAGTGTAATAGGTAGGTTCGAGTCTTACAAAGGAATAACCACCGCTGCCACCAGTGTAATACAGATACTAGGTGGGTTCGAATCTAGCAATTATAAAATTGAACCACCGCTGCCACCAGTGTAATAGGTCGCCGAGTGGTATCAGGAGGCACACACAAGAAGACTGGTTAATATTATGTTCTTCGGCTCAATCTGCCTGAAGTTATGTATACAACTGCTCCGGCTCAATCTGCCAGGAGGGACTCTGTTCTGTTCTGTTATGTTCTGCTCTGCTCTGAAGAAATGAGTAAAGCATGGCAGCTTTTATAGGGCGAAAAGGAAGGAGATCATCATAGAGTCTGCATGAGCCATGAGTCATGAAAAAGGGCAGAAGTCTGTTGTGTCAGTCCAAACAGAACTTGGGAAGGCATAGCAACAGTATCTAAATGTATGAAAGAAGCAAACGGAACTTTGGAGGAGAACAGAGGCCAGGGAGGGCATTGGCAAATGGATGCAAACAGGATCTAGAAAGGGTCATGACTGTCCGCATGACCTCAGCCAGGGTCAGGGAGGTTCAGTACAACATGTGGGTGTTAATTCTACATGTACATACAGGTGTGATGATCTAAACTAGCAAAGATATGTAGTATGCAATCCAGCAAGCGCAAGGGAAACACAAGTGGTGAGAAGTGATATAATTAGCTTTGCAGGCTTGTCAGCAAAGGAGTGACAAGAGTCATGCCGTGCGTGTACGTGTACATGTGACATGATTAGAGGTAAAAATAGATGTAGATGTAGTAGTCAGCTACAGTTCAGTACTATCAAGGCAGGGATACTACACATCCATTGGAGGCTGCCAAACTCGGCGAGCCCCACGCAGACACATGACACTCGAACGCAGCAGGGCGAAAGACAGCCTGCAGCTAGCGGAGGTGGGCAATTAGCACAGAATACGCCTCCCTCCCACGTAGCGACTGGAGATGTGCAACGGCACTGCAGATGCAAATAATTTCGCGCGAACGGATTCACGTGACCATTCAGGACTGTAGAAGTGGACTTTTGGCGGCATATCAGTATTTGACCCGGGTCAACTGTCTTCATGTAAACGCTCACCTCTTTTGTCTATCGTACAGACTTTCAACCCGGGCTGAACTCGACCCGGGTTGAAATTTCTCATGTAAACACAGCCTGAGAGCCACGTTTTTTCAGCCATTTCCATGTTTCAGGACGATGTAAATACACTATGATTGTCATTGTGGGTAGTACCTTGTATATCCTCATATGTATGATTGTAAATATGTAGTACGGTATATTCCCACAGCTACATGTATGTGTACGTCTACAACACACACATGAACACACAATACAATACAATACAATATGCCCATCCGGAGATGATAGCAGGTCCCGAAGGGACCAACAGTGTTCAAGTCACGAGCAGAATCGGGCGTGGCGAGTCAAGTCCTGGCGACGGCGATAGCGCTTTCCACAAGTGCAAACGAAGTCTCTAAGGTGACGGGCTCGGTCGGAGGAATGGTGCTGCATGCTGATCTCCATTCTCTGCGATCCTGGGCGAGGTCGTACCAGTCCGCTATCTGGCGGTCCTTCATGTCAGACACAACATTGTCCCGCCACCGCTTCCGGGGCCCATGACGTGGCCGGGTCTTGTCCAGTTCGCCGAAGAGGATACACTTTGGCATACGGGAGTCATCCATTCGAGCAACATGGCCTAACCAGCGAAGTCAACGCGTTTTCAGTGTCTCCTCGATCGGCTGTACCTTGGCTCGTTCAAGGAGAGTGTTGTTGGAGATGTGCTCCTGCCATTGGGTTACTCTGCGAATATCCAGCAGGAAACAAACACATCGGTGATGAAAGGCTGCAAGCCGACGAACATCCACGGCCTTAATTGCCCAGGTCTCACAACCATACAGCAGCCGGTCGACAAGACAACGGCCGAATATACGTGCACCTTCGTCTTGACGGAGAGATCACGACTGGAAAAGACAGATGAGCGCAATGTGCCAAATGCTCGGGAAGCTTTCGCCAAGCGAGCCGAGATCTCAGCAGTCATCTGGCCATCCGAAGAAATACAACTGCCGAGATACGTAAAATCAGGCACCAGCTCAATACTACCCTCAGGCAACTCTAAAAGGCCGGATGGTGGCGACGGGGCATTCACTACCATAACTTTGGTCTTGGTGAAGCTTACAGATGAACACACACACACACACACACACACACACACACACACACACACACACTTGTACTTGTACTGGTTGCTCACTGCCAAAACTGGTCACGTGGGTCTCCCCGGGAGAGGGGAGAGAGACTCAAAAGGGATCTTGGAAAGATGACTCAATTGGTTATTGAACCGCCCAACGGCCGACACCCCCTGAAATCCCCAAAACTCTGGGTGGACTTGAAAATGATCCCACTTATGGGCTCACCACACCTCAGTAAGTGGGTGAGGACAAGGTGCGGAAAAAGGATTGATGGCATCAGGGTATCCGTCCTGGGATCCAACTGCAGTTATCCCTGCCCCCAGTGAAGGTAATACTTGCTACTACGGTGCGGGCGGCTAAATCAGGCTGGATCTGATTTAGACATCACTAGCACCATCGATTACACAAGAGTTAATCTAGCCAGAAGCAGTCCATGCCGGGTTAACAGGTATGTATACTTCAAATAGAAAGTATATGAACCCTGGAACCAACAAAGGTGGCAAGTACAACATTACACCTTCAAGCAGCCGAGCCCGTTGGTAACAGACCCAACACAATCAGGCATAAGTGTACCCACCAACCGAACTACACACACCGTCACACACCTGTCCTGAACATTGCCGTAAGACGGTCACATGTCCCCTCATACGACTCGAGGGGCCGACAGACATGGGGTAGGTCGGTTGAATACGGTACGCACACACACACACACACACACACGCGAACACACACACACACCATACACACACACACACACACACACACACACACACTGTGACACACACACACACACACACCTGACACACACTTGTACTTGCTCACTACCAAAACTGGTCATGTGGGTCTCCACGGAAGAAGGGAGAGATTCAGAGGAATCTGGCAAAGATGACTCTATTGGCTATCTACACGCCCTCCCCAAACTCTGGGCGACTAAAATGATCCCACTTATGGGCTCACCACACCTCAGTACATGGGTGAGGACAAGGTGCAGAATAAGGATCGACGGCATCAGCGTATCCGTCCCGGGATCCCACTGCAGCTACCCCTGCTCCCAGTGAAGGTATGCTTGCTACAAGTGTGGGTGGCTAAATCAGAGAGGACGCTTGCGACTACAGTAACATTGACTACACACCTTCAAGCAGCCGAACACCCCATTGGGGGAATTTGGCAACAGACGCAACACTATCTGGCATAAGTGTACCCACTCACCGAACTAACAGACACACACACACACACACACACACACACACACTAACCTCGTTCCAGCAGCGATGTCAAAAGCAGAGTACCGGTAAGTACTGTAAAACCCGGGAAATTTCGGTGCAGATTTATTTTCGGTGACTTCGGCCGATACAGGCAACTTTTACCTAAAATAAAACGTGACCTATTAAAAGTTCAACCATGCCATCAAGAGTGCATAAACTGTTTATGGACTCTTGATGCCATGCCACACAAGTACACAGTGAGTGTGCAAAATGCATTTTTATATCTGGAAAACTGGCCAACGGAAATTTTCGCGCTACCGAACCATTAATTTTGGGAAACACCGAAAATATTACATGACCGAAAATTCTCGGTTTTACAGTGCATGTTACGATGTAGCACAATCCGTGTTCAACATTGGGCGCAACCCTTTGGTAAAACGTAAACTCGTGATCAGCACTTTTTTCTAACTGTCCGAGACTCCAGCACAACTATCTTACTTACAACAGTTACAAGTGTGTGTGCTGCAGTAGCTCTGCTGCTGATCCATATTAAAACTCTCTACTTCTCCAACCTAAAAAAAACCCCGGTCTCTTTAGTGCGCATCACATTACATGCACTGCGTCTTTGTTATTCATATGTTCACGCTAATGACGGCCGTTGCCCGAAAGTTTGGTGAAATGTAAAGCGATTCGCAGCAAAGAGACCGTTTTCAGACTTGGAGATTTATAAAATTAATATTCATGCAGATCAACACTGGGCGGGAACTAGCACAGCAGGGATAATGGTAACGCAGCCGGACAATGCTACTGCATGCAGCACATACCGTACATCTCATGGCAGCACTGACCAAATACCACCAGTAGAGTACCACAAGTATGGGCACGTGTGCAGAGTTCACCTCCTACAGTCCTTGCTACCGAATATATTAAAGTTGCACTTTTTTTACTCTACAAAACTACTCCAGGCCGGCAAAGGGCGTACGAATTACAATCGAGCAATGGAGCGCGAGTGTGACTTACAATCGGTGAAATACAGTACTAGTACGGAAGTATGTTACTATGACGCATGGAATGAGAGCAACCCGGAACCAACCCGGTCAAAACTAACTTGTGCTCGCTTGCCGACCACTCTTGGGTGGAATCTGCACTGGAATCATGACATGTGGTTTCCGACATGTGTATTTGGGTGTGTGCAATGCATATGCATCATCACGCACCATACTCTTTAACTGTAGCATATGTACACGGTCAGCACAGGTTTTAAAAAAAGCATAAGAAAAGTTTTATGAATAAAAAGAAGGGTAAAGAGTCGTATAAAAAGATGCTTTCATGGATGGCCAAAAAGTACAAAGTGCTACACATTTTTTGGAATGCTGTTGTGTGTTATGGAATATGACATACTGGATGACCAACGAAAGAAGCGAAAATATCATTGGTCATTCTCCGACAGTTAACATCAACTTACTGAACATGTCATGTGTAGATAGTGGTTCACTCAAGCCTATGCACTCTGTCTCGGACATCTCCAAAACACCAGCAACAAGATGTTGAAGAGCGCTAAGCAGCACAGTTTCATGTTTACAATGTACACGGGCAGCACCGACGCGTCAGTCAGAACACCCCGCCGCGCCGCTCAGAAGTCGTCCGTAGACTTGAAGTGCTCGTCATCAATCGTCGAGTAAATGTGCCCTTCTTGACTGAGCCAGTCCACAGCTTTCCTGCATACACACACACACACAACAGCAGCGATACAAGAAGACAGACACAGCGTAAAACAAGATCAGCTAAAGCCTAGTTCACATTCGACGCAACGCCGACGGTACGGGACGTAAGGGCTTGTCGGGAGGGCTGGGGTGAGCTGTAAAATCCTGTACAATTCGTACGACACGACATGCAGCAGTCGTTGCGACGTTCAACGTCCAACGGCGCGAGTCATAAGGCACGGTCCGTGACGGGGTGACGGACCTAATTTCTCGTTTTTCGGGACTTCTTTTCAATTATTTCTCCTTGAAAGAAGCGGAATCAAGTTCATAATACCAGTTTTTCATGAAGACCAAAAAATTAGCCCTGAAAGTTGTGGCTTTCAAATAATTGCCCCAGGAAATGATAGAATGGTTCGTCTGTCAGGCTTCTGAACTATCCCTAAATACCATAAGTGACATGAGATCTTATGTTGCTAAAATTCAACTAAAGTCGTGCTAGCCATTCTGTGAGTTATCATGGGAAGTGCAGTGTTCGAAATGCTAAAAATTTCCAAGTACGAATCGGGAGTGGTCGGCGCACGACGCCGTCTCCTGTTCACACTCGAATTGCAGCCGTTTTGTACGCTTCTTTTTATTCCGTCCCCGTCTACGGTATGGAAAATTGGATCGACCCAACTCTTCCCGTCGCTTCCCGATCTGTACGGTAGTACGGTTGCATTCCCATTCCTGGTGTTCACATTGGACGCCGTCAGACCGTCCCGTCGCTTCCCGTCGATCCTTACGTCGCGTCCCGTCGAATGTGAACTAGGCTTATTGCATCCCATAGAGACAAAGCACTTGGCCGTGCACGTATACAGTTGCGCTCCCCGAAAAAATCCGACCCAAAGTGCAAAGCTGACCCTGCCCTGGACCAGTTCCGATTACATCACTATACTTGTACATGTGTACGTCCAGCAGCATTCGTACCACTTCCAGGGTGTCAGGGGCCGTACGTACAAGTTGAGGGCTCCAAATATGCACTGTGGTCGGATTTCACCGAGCACAACTGTAAATGTATTACCAATCAGTTGACACTGGGAATAGCGCTCAGGCAATCACATTATCCTGCGACATCAAACGACACATGCAAATATCATCACTGAACTTGCATATTAACCAGTGTGAAATCGAAATTCAACAGAGGGTGTATGTGTGGCCACAGTGATCCGTGAACGTTTGCTGTTGCAAAATCGCTGGTTCTGAGCAACCACAAACATTCAGTGACGTGATGATGGGGCGATTTTCAGCACACTTCATTGCCAACCTAAGCACTTTTATTCCCTTGGAGCATCTCTTTCAATTGTGTAGAAGCTGTACATAGCATACGGACACTGGAAATAGAGTACATGTATGGCCAACATAATGTGAGCTGTTGGTCCAGGGAATGATGGCTGGATCCAACATGGCCGCCGTATCAGGTCACGTGACCGGTGTGAAACAGCACTATTCTTTACTTTTCTCCTGCATTCTACATGTACACATAGGGTGTGAGCCTCCTAGTGCCCAGCGAGCGCTCTTGACCTACCTGACAGCCGGCTCCATAATGCTGTGTTTGCGCATCTGATCCAGGAGCATGCGGATGTTGAGACCCTGGGTGTCACGACATGCCATGATCGCCTTGTAGACCTGAGACAAGATAGATAAGATGGAGAAGATAGTAGTTGAGTATTTTGCTCCTGCTCTTGTAATAATCGAGCACTCTTACGTGGGGCAGTGCTTTTGCTGTTGGCGTTTGGCAGAGCTCACTGACTTGTCAGTTTGAGCACTCTGGCAAGGTACGTTCGGGCCTGGTTTAAACCTGGCTTTGGAAAATGTATTTTTCATTTCTTTCAGGTTCGGCCTCATTTTCTCTGTGCTGCGCTGATGTGTCCACAAAAGACGAAACAGTTCTGTCCTCAGATTGGGTAGATAGAGAGATACCAGTTAGCAATTGAATGAGGCTAAATCTGTAGTTACTCAGAGACTTATGGTCATTCACCAATCACCAATTATTCACCAATAGAGAGACAGAGATAGGCAAATCATCAAGCGATGGATAGCCGAGAATTCGTTGTTACTCCGAGTTCCGTCCGAAAGCACTCATCAGACAACTTCATAAGTTGAAGCTGTCTGATGAGTGCTTTCGCGCGAAATTCGAAGTAACAACGAATTCTCAGCTATCCGTCGCTTGATGACTTGTGTGTCATTGTTCCATCTTTGATGTTGAGCACCCTCTCCAGATCTTACTCTAGATAGGTAGATAGATAGATACACACAGGCAGGTGTATGCTTCCTGTTTGTCTGGACTCTTCCGAAAAAGAAAGATCCATAGTGTAGGTACACAGAGCGGATGACAACAGCTACTGCTATCGATCAGACATACCTGGTGTTGGTCCTTGTCGAAGCCCATGGCGTTGGAACCCATAGCCATACCGCCTGTAGCTGCACCACCGCCACTGCCGGCGCCCATTCCGGTGGAACCCTGTTGAATTACAGCACAAAACAAAACAATTAATCCTCTGCACATCAAAGCAGTGACTTGAAGACCGACGATTTCCAAGTGCAAAAAAGGCTTGGCCGTTGTGTAAAGCGATGGCATCAGAAACTTGGAATGTACGCGTGTTTTAAACGTTGCAAGAGAGGTTCAGAAACTTGCAATGAGCGCGTAACGAGTGTGAGCCGGGATGAATTAACAAAGCACAACGGAATCTCCAGTCATCTGGGCCTGGCCCCGGGTGCGATACCCAGCCAGCGACTCGTTCCGAGATCGTTTGAGAACTGCTGGACCTTATTCTAATATCAACCCTAAACTGCCCAAGCAAGTAGAGCAAGATTATTGGATAGCGAGGCAGTACTGGACCTTGTGCAATTGGCCGAGCAATATAGTGTCTACTAATGCTCTGGTGACCACAGAGGCAATCATAAAAAAACACTCAAACTGAATAGCACATAATTATAACATGCGCCACACTGGGTTACACAAATACCAACAGCCTATATTCTACTCCAGCAAATGGAAAAGCACTGGGTACACTAACAAGGCGCATGAAATGAAAAAGAAAAAGAAAAAAGAGGAGACCATGGCACTTTCCATCGCTTACCATAGCTCCTTCTGTCTTGACAGCAGGAGCTGCGCTACCGCCCTTCTTCAGATAGAGATGCGCGTGCACAACTTCAAGCATGTGCAGGGTAATGTCATTGAACTCGGTCACCGGCTGGATCACAAACGCGATGACATTGCGACTCGTCTCGTTGTAGGAGCGCAGGTGGCCGGCGACGCGAACAAACAGGCCCTCCCTGGCAACAAGGGAAAGAGAGCAAACACGGTGTAAAGCAAAGTGAATAGGGAGCAGCAGCAGCAGCAGCAGGAGGAGGACAAAGGTAACGAACACAGCAATGAGCATGTTTGGCTTACATGAGTGCACTAGTAGCGCTGTACAACATTGTTATACTGCTAGAAGTACACATATCCCCATGTTTCCCACTTCTCAAGTACCATGTTTAACTGCTGCCGTGGGCTACCGGACTCCATCAAAGAGCTCTCACCGGGGCGAGAGACCAGTGGTGTCTACGACTTTGGTGCACGATGCCAACGGCCAGGGTAACACCAACAACAAAACAGGACTTCTAGTTGGAGGCAACTAGAGAGTCTCTCTCTCTCCCTCTCTCTCTCTCTCTCTCTCTCTCTCTCTCTCTCTCTCTCTCTCTCTCTCTCTCTCTCTCTCTCAGGAAGAACAAGTCCTGGACTGGCCACTGGGATACACACTGAAAAAAGAGAGCGATTGGATGTTCCGCCTCATGCTCCAGCCCAGGAGATGGGCAAGTCGCACAAGCATAACATTATCATGAACTTCTCCAAGGCCTCACCTGCATTCCGAACGTCTTGTCTACAGACAAAGAGAAAAGAAACAAAGGAGCGAGGAGACGTGAGACTCATGCGCATACACAACAAAGCCATTTCATGAAGTACATGTACAAGCTGATTACCAGATTGACCACGGTTAAAGAGTAAGTTTCGTATAAGCCCATTGCGCAATGACGTAATTTGTACCATAAACACCCCAGACAGCCACCTGGGCATGGTCGTCTGGGGTGTTGAACAGGGCATTCCTGATCCCAGTGTACTCATATGCATTACTCATACCTTCCATATTTGGCAATGCGCAATACAAGGTCCGTGCACATCGGTTTTCGCCAGCACATCAAAACTTTGGCAATGGCTATGTTGCCCTCCTAAAACTTTGCCTGGAGACTTACTGATGGTACATTCAAAATAAGTTAGCAGGAAAGTACAAATTTAAAAGACAAGTCGATGAGCCGTACTTTTCTTTAAAAAAAGAGTTGCAGATGGATTTTCGTTCCTCTTACAAGTAAAGGCTAGAAAAACTATTTCTAGAGAACTCCTTATGGCACAAGCTGTCCAAAAGCCCAAGATTGCCCAATTTCACCCAAGGGAAACTAAAGTTATCATCAAAATGGGTGGCGGCGTCTCGCGGGGACTGAGAATTTGTCCACTTTGTCGGTCGGATATTAAAAGGGTAAAATCAAAAAAGTTACCTCAACTGGGGATTCGAACCGCACAATGTAATGTTGCAAATGGAGTCCAACAGGGTGGGGAAAACCTGGCCGAAATCCTATTCTTCTTACGGCTTACTTTCGGGAGAAATAGACTTCAGACACATAATTGGGAGCGAATCGGACACAAAATTCTTTAAAAAACCAAACTTCTCTGTCTCGGAAGTTTGATATCATTTCCGCAATCACAAAGGGCTAATGCATTTGCTTGGATGACGGCAGATTTGTTTCGGCAATGGCTGAAGATGTGTGACAACAGGCTGGCACTGAGTCCGGGTAAGCCCTCCTGATAATAGATAACAGGGCCCAGCTCATCCACAGGCCATGGAATTCAACATCACCACCATCAGGTTCCTTCCTCTCTGCACCTTTTGTCATTCTGTATGTGTGCTGCTATGCCTGAGACAAGACATGATCGAAGATTACTGTAATATTTATATTTCCCTCTTGATCAAATGAACACAAACACATGGGCTCAGAGCAGATGTTCAAGGCATTTGATGCGATCGAACTGCGCAACCAAGAGTGCGAGATGTATTTCAGAAGTCCACGCATGCTCTTCCATGCGAGGGCGCGTGTATGAGCGGGTATAAGCAAACGCTCTTGTTCACAAGACATAACAATACAATTATAGTGATAACTTGCACCGCCATCCACAATACAGTACTGCGCCCTGGCTAATCAGGGGGCTACTGCCCGTAAAAGCCGGATATGAGTTGTTTATGGATGGCAAACATACTTAGTGGTGCATAGCGTGGACCATACCTCGTTGTCTTGGATGTATTTGCGCACCTGCATCGGCTCGCCAGTCATGTCGTCCACGGAGTACGAGAGCGTCGTTGACGTCTCCTCCACGGTGCGCACCACTCCAATGAACGTGACCTTCACACGCACGCACACACGTACATACACACATCATGTACCATGTTTACGCCCGTTGCAAGAGAAGCACGCAAATCTACAAATGCACTGGATGTGTACCTACAGCTTTTTCTCTTTATAGCAACGATAGCGGATCTGATTCTGAATGAAACAGATAAGGACAAGCGCCAGATAACTGTCTAATCGACACAACTGGCCAAGCCATGTACACACCTGGGCTACATCACACGGAGTACATCGGAATAGGACGGCCAAGACAGTAATCTATGCACACCCTACACTTGCTGGGGTAACCAGTATAGACAGCACGCTACTTTGACAGAAGCAGACAATGGTACAATGGTACGTACCCCAGAGCAGTACAACATCGTGTGAATATTGTAGGGAACCTAGGGTTCACAATCATGCACATGCAATGTACACATCTACGCACATAGCAGATAGGTGAAGGCGATGCTAACCAAAGGACAAATCCTACACTGCAACATCTTCTGCAACATTAACACTGCGTGCCGTGTACAATGGCCATGTCAACGCCCAGGTGTATCTTACATAGTTGAGCTCTCTTTCGTTTACGTAAAAGCTGCCGTCCTCATCGTGTCGTGCTGCGTACAGCTGTGCAGCAGTCACCGGCATCAACGATTGGCCTTTATTGAAGGATTTCTGAACAAAAAAAACAAACACAAAATACATTGGAATGTTAAAAGAAATAGCATTATGTGCCCACGTACAAGATCATAATGTATTCAGCACAACCCCATTGTGTGAATGTGCTGCTCCCTCCTCTTCCCAATCAAGGACTACATGCTGACATGCTGCGTGAGTAACACATCGTAGCAAGAATGTCTCCTATAGAAGCCCGTATACAAGCCTGATTTTCAAGATGCACTGGTGGCACATACTGGTAAGCCTGCCGTTAGTGTTGACATACATAGAAACTACCTGGTTTGAAGACAAGCCTGCCTTGAATAGAAGCCTAGCACTGACATCGGCTTCTGCAGAAATAAGCCCGGCTTTTAAACTTAATGATACGTGCGGTATTCATGGTACGCATGTTATTCATCTAACGACAGCATGCAAGGTTAATGTGAAGCATAGACAACTTGACCAGGCTAGTTGGAAGAGAGCGCCCAGAATACACTGGCTGCTACCACTTGCTTGGATACAGAAGTTGGGGAGACCGCACTGTAGGAAAGGCAGTACACTTTTAACTAGACCGTCAACACTATAATACCTAGTGTGGCAGGGTTGGTCGTGGAAAACATTCGTTGTTTGTTCAGTAGATGCGAAGTGTTTGGCATGGTTATATGCCCGACCATGTCATGCGGGGAACACTACTCTGTACTGCCAGTACTGCTCTTCCTGTTAAATTGTAGAAGTTATGCACCATGCATGGGAGAATGTCATTGAAACGATGAACATAATACAGTGTGCATGTAGTTATTAAACTGGCATAATTAACATTGATAAACTGATTGATAAACTGATTTACATTGATAAACTGATTTCATGACTTCGTTCATGACTCAGTTTTTACATTGCAGAGCGTAGATCTACGATTATCGTCCGTACACAGATATGCGCACATCGATATGTACTAGTACATGACGTATAGCCGTCATTATAAGTTATTATTTACAATATAAATAGGGAGTTCAGTCACGTGACAGCACGGTGAAAAATCTTCGTCACGCGTCATGCATGCATTTATGACGTGAGCATGGCACAAAAATGTGCCACGTGGAAATATTGATTTTTTTTTAGACTTGTAGTTTGTTGAAGAAGGAGATGACAGCCATTTGACAGAGGAGATTTTTAGCTTTCGTTTGGTGTCTCACTCGAGGTCACAGTCGTGAGATGGGACTTCCCACGTCTTGCCGTAAAACTTTGAACGCGATTTTGATGTTGTTCCTTTGAGCGTTGACGGACGGTGATTCTTCCATCGTGTTCCTCGTCCCAAAATTAGGTAAGAACGATCGTCTTTCTTCATCTAGTTTGCAGCGGTTCCAGGCGGTAAGGAATATTTGTCTGCTCTGTATTTCTCTACAGCGAGAATTTGAATATTTGAATTCTTCATGGCCGATGAGGAGGAGAATAGCCCTGGACCTGCATGTCGGAGGCTTGGTATTTATTCAAGCAAACTGAGAAATGCGTTGAAATCAGACGAAGCTCTTACCTGTTTGAAGACGAGTGATTTTCCTGTCACCAACGATGTCGTTCTGGAGCTACTTACATTCAAAAATGCCTCGAAGTTTTCGTTCAACGATATGTTGAAATGGACTGGTTCTCTGATAGGTTCCAGTACCAAAGATATTGCTGTTGGCACGTTTGCCTCTAGAGTCCGTTCTCTGCAGCAACGTCGAGCAAGGCTGCTGAAGGACAAAGCCAGCGATCAGATTGCTGTCCTACTGGCTGAGCCCTTTATACTACCCTCTCCATCATCCGGCCAGTCGGAGTCAGGTGAGCGTGATAGGGAAAGCACCTCCAGCACTGAAGTTGGTACAACAACTGAGCCTTTGGCAGCAGAGGTTTTCCAGGTGCAGAGAGAAGCTAAGGCACAGGAGGAATTAGTGGGATCTTTAAAGGAGAAAATGAAGGTTGGGCAAGGGAAGCTACGAAATGTTAAAAAGAAATTGGGACGTCGAGATGAGACAATCAGATCACTGGAGGCTAAGGTAGCTAGTTCAGTAGAGGCTGATATGGTTGAAGATGAGTATGATGAACAGGATGAACAGGGCAGTGAGGATGACATGCCTATGGTAGATGAGCTGAAGAGGAAGCTAGTTAACACGCAGCATAAAGTGTATTATTGGCAGAAGCGTGCGGGTGATTTAGATACTTCCAGAAGGGAACTAGAGCGTGAACTGCAGGAGAAGTCTTTGTTGTTGTCCAGAGCTGACGGCAGAATTAAGCAGTTGGAGTTGGAGGTTGATGACTTAGGTTCACAGCTGCATGAAGAATGTAGTGGCTCCATGATTACAACATTTTCTGGCAATGCGTACCTCCCAGAAGTAGTCAAGTGTTGTATGGAGTTGTTGGCATTGAATGTAGGCATATGGAATGTGAAATCGGTCATTGATTGTGTACTTCATAACCTAGTCAGCAAGAAAGTAGACAGACTCCCTAGTGTAGGAACTTTGTCTGGGATGCTGGTGCAGCTAAAATCAGTTAGTTCACAGCATGCAGCTGAAGTACTTTCTCAGGCAGAAAATACAACCTTGCACACTGATGGCACGAGTAAGTTTGGTCAGAAGTATGGTACCTACCAAATTGCCACTGAAAATCAAGTTTTTAGTGTGGGTATGGTAGATATGAAAAATGGCACGTCAGAGCACATCCTTGATAAGTTCAAGGAGGTTTTGTCCGACCTTCAGGATTCGTGCAAGGGTGTTGGCGAGTCTTGTGAAACTGGCAATAAGATTGTAGCGAACATCAAGAACACGATGAGTGACCGGTGTGTTGTACAAAGAAAGTTCAATGAGTTGTTACATGACTATCGAGAGAAGATTTTGCCTGATGTTGTTGCTAGCTGGGAGACATTGAGCAATGAGCAGCAAAGTTCATTTTCCAACATGAATAATTTCTTTTGTGGAATGCATTTCATTGTTGGCTTGGCCGACCAATCACAGATTGCAATGAGGAAATGGGAGGACATGCATTTTGGTGATCAGCCATTTGGTGCACATACTTTGCATGGTGTGTATGATACAGACGGGTCTCGGGTCTTCAGATTACTTCGCAATGCTGCAAATGCGTTTCAGAAACATGGGAATGAGCAGGCTGGGTGCATGCATGCCTTTCGTAGTTATGTGACTGACATGGGGGGAGTGGTGCCTTTGGCAGAGCAGAGAGGCAACCGCAGCTATGTTTGCTACTTCAATGGTGCTGGAGTGTATTACCTTCACGAGCTCATGACAACGTTCCTGCAGGATGTTCAGGCGGACCCCAACCAACTCCTCCGTGCTGTCAAGGCTGACCTTGCAATCCCAGAATTGTTATCTGGTGCAAGAGCCCTTGGAATTCTCTCCAAGCTCGTCATAATGCCATTGTGGAAGGCTTTGGAAAGCAAATCAATCTCCATCTCTGACATGTCCAACGTCTACAGTCAGCTCCAGAAGAAATTTGAGTACTGGACGAATGATTCTGCGGACCTCCTCGACGGCACCGCTCGGCCGTTCACAGATGCTTCAGTTTCCCTCACCGACCCCGTGCTCACTTACCTGCTGCAGCCCAGTCCGAGTGACACTACCACTGTTGAGATTTTGCAGATGTTATGCACCGTGTATGCTCGGTATACATCTAACCTACTCTCCGATCATCTGCCAGGCGGTGCGTTCCATAAACCTGACGAGGCAACCAGAGTGCAAACTGCCTCTGTCAGCAACACCAATGTCGTTTCTGAACGTGATTTCGCGCAACTGGATCGACTTATCCGAGAAAAGCCCAATTCAAGAACTATCGCGCTGGAGGGGATGATTATGTTTTCTAATAACAAAACCGCAGAATGGCTGACCAGTAAACCTGCCCAGGAACAAGCCGAAATCCTCCAAATGGCACGGCAGACAGCTCCAGCTATGCAGGAAGCCTTCAGGAAGCGCCAGAAGGAAATCCATGAGTACTGCGTTCAGCGACTTCGTGACAAAGCAAAGGAGATTGCAGAGAAGAGGGAGAAGGAGCTGAAGAGGAAAGAAGCTTTGACGAAAGATGTTGAGCGCTATGGTCTGTGGACATCCAGACAAGAAGTTGACGAAAAGGTTGCACTCCTGAGCACCATTGCAGCAAAGAAGGCGGCTTTGAAAGCGCAGCTGCAGTTCCGGAAAGTTGTCCTGAATCAGAAGGCATCAGGAGATCTCTTTGCCATGTCTAAGGGTGGAAAACAACATCCTGTTCAAACACTGATCAGCCATCTCTGCGAGCTACTGAATGTATCGAACACTGCCAGCTCAGGTGCTGCTGCACCCGGTCAGGAAGCAACTCCGCTTGACCCAACCGGCCACACCAGCAGCTCGGCTCATGTTGCAGGCAGTCAGCACGCAACTCCCCTGGAGCCAACCACTTACACCACCAGTCCGGCTGATGTGGACAGTCAGCGAGCAGCTTCGTCAGAGCCAGCCGCCAACACCACCACCTCGGCTGACAATGTAGATTGCGAGCTGGAGCCAACAGCAAAACGGCTCCGCGTTGAAAATGAATAATTTTATTGTCCAAAGACATGGTCAAAGACATGGTCAAGACAAGTTTGTGGTTATTGTGTTGACTGTTTTTATTGTCTTTTTTGTGTCTTCCCCTCTTCCAACTGTTCTCTTCACTTTTTTCCTGTTCCGTTGCTATGGTAACAATGCTAGAATTTCCCGTTAACACTGTTAACCTACATTCCATTTTTGTTTTACCACGCTTGTGCAACGTTTTCACTCCATATTGTCATCATTGATATGTTTCGTTGCGTTTCTGCAATGTTGCTAGGGGTTGCCATGGAAACAATACACGGCGACGTGCCGTCAGGTAGTTGTTGTACATAGAAATGTTTGTACATTATTGCTTATCATATAGGCCTGTCATTTGGGCTCTTTTCAGCGAACTTTTTGTTTTTGTCACTATGTCCCCTGGTCAACTTCCCCTGGGTCCGTTTGTCAGTTTGTGCCATGCGTGCTATACACGTTTACATACAATTCAACACAATTCTATGATGATTGGCACCACAATTGAAATGACTGTATCTCAGGTTTGCTTTGAGATTTTCACATGAAATTTTCTGTGTGCTCTTGAAAGACGTGCTTATTCGATTTCCAACAGAATTTTCCTGGGAATTCTGAATTTGATTTTTTTGCCTGAACTCCCTAATATAAATTATTATTATTATTATTATTTGTGCTCCCGCGTCAATGGGCTCGCCCAAATTCGCTTGCACCGAACCATGCGAAAAAAGGCCGCCAGCAGGCAGGCAGGCAAAGAAAAATAGAAAATGGTGTCACATAAACTAATACAAACAAGAATATCATTATTGATGACATTAATATACTGAATGAATGGCAAGGCCATGTGAATACGGATAATACGGATAATCAGAGTACCAACAACAAAGAATGTAGCTCAAACCATTGCAGTGCCAGCTTCCTTCACCAGTACTCTGCCTTGTACGCATCTGTAACTGCGTTGCACAGATATGTCCATTCACGGCGATCCAGTGCTCGCTGAGCCATCAGCTGCAAGTCCCTTGGAGTCCTCAGACGGCAGCCGACTCGCTCCGCGTCTTGATTCAGCAGGACCGGTAGCGTGATCCGCGGCCGCCCACGGTATCCCGGCACGGAGCAGCCAAAGAATCCACTCATGGCCTCCCTAGCCGGTGTGTGCTCATCTGATCGCAGGATGTGGCCGAACAACCGCCATCTTGCATTCACCAGAATGTTGCCAAGTGGAGCAGCACTGCAGCGCTCGTAAACCAAATCGTTCGACAGTCGGTTGGGCCACCTGATACCCAAGATATGCCGAAGTTGCCGCCGATGATACGATTCCAGCGCTTCAATTGTCTGTCGAGTGATGCCCCATGAGGAGCAGTTGTAAAGCAAGACAGGTAACACGAAGCAGTTATACAGCCGGACGCGCACCTCCAGACTCACTTGGTCTCTTCTCTTCCATAACTGGCAGAGGGACTTAAACGCTATCGCCGCAAGCTGCTTTCTGCGGGTGACATCCTCTGCATCACCAAGGAGAGAGCCGAGTTTCTTGACCATACGCCATGGCTCATCAGCACGATCGGCCTCTCGCTGGATGGCTGTGAATTCTGTCTTGGTCTGGTTGACGGTAAGGGACCATGTACCCAAGATGGTGGCAACCTGTGGCTCTAACATCCGAAGCCAATCACTAGAGATACTGATGAAGTCCACATCATCGGCGTACTCCACATCGTACGGAAGATGCCGGGCCACAGGTGCAGCCATTCGCTGTCGCACATCCTGCAGGGCAGCTTCCAGGTAGATCACGAATAGAATTGGCGACAAGGAGTCGCCTTGCGGGGTACCAATGTTAGTGGAGAAAGAGCTTGATGTTTCCGTGCCCAGTCTGACTGCCAAATTCGTATCTGAGATCAGGTAACGGATCAAGCGTACCTCGTCTTCTTCCAAGAATCGCTGAACCACGTCCATCAACTGTCCTCGCCTGATCGTGTCAAAGGCACGTGACATGTCGATGCCCAGTATGCTGAATGACCAGTGGTACCGCTGGGTCGTAGCTGCTAACCACCGATGGCACCAGACCACATCAGCTGTTGACCTTCCTGCACGAAAACCACTTTGGTTCAGTGATAGGAAATCGTTTACGGCTGGCGAGATGCGCTTGAGGACTACCAGCGACATGACTTTGCGTAGAGTTGTCAGGAGGATGATCGGTCGCAGACTGGTTAAAGCACCCACCGGCTTTCCGGGCTTCTGGAGAGGTATTAGTGTGCCATGACCGATGAATGGCTCAACCCGGTGTTGCTGAAATAGGCTGTTGATGCATCGGCTTATGACGGGAGCAGTGGCATCGGCTGAGTACTTCAACAGCTCACCCGGGATGTTGTCGGGTCCTGCAGCTCTACCGTTGTTGAGTCTTGCTAGTGCTGTTTTCACTTCCTCCGTTGAAACGGGATGCTGCAGCGGTCGAGGTTCCCCAGTGAAGGATCCAAATTGCTGAATTGCAGAGTCACTGAGCTGCGATGAGAAATGATTCTTAATCTCCAAGCTTGCTTGCTTATCATTACATATGATCTTGCCCTGGCTGTCCTTAACGACGACTTTCTGCGATGGCTTTCGCCGGAGCAAGTGTACAGCTTGGAACATCTGGGCTCCATCCTTGAGCCTCTCTATCTCCTCTGCTCGCGATATTAGTTCATTTTCTCTGTTTGTGATGGATCTGTTCCTGATATCATGCAGGATTCGATTCCGGTCAGTCCTCAACATTTCTCGCTTGATTGGGTCATCACTGCCCTGAATACGGAGTCGAACATCTCTCTGCATGCAGGAAAGTCTCTCGATCTCTGGGTCATGGTGACGATGACTGGTCTTGGCTGTCACACCCACAATCTCTTTGCCCGCGTGGAAGATCTCTGCAGCTATTGCATCCCATCCGGTGTTGGGCTGATCTTCTGACACCCTCTGAATTCTGTCTGAGATGGCAAATGTTAGCTGATTCTGCAGTTGTGGATTCCCGGGTAAACGATGCACTGCCAGGCGATCCACCTTCTTCTGGCTGCTCCGCGCCGCCCGACCCCATATGCCGAATACTCGAGGTAAAAGCGTGCGAGCCACCACAATCCTATGATCTGATGTGACTTCCGTTCCATTGTAACTTCTGGCGTTGGTGAATAGTCTCTTTTGCGATTGACGGCACAGAATATAATCAATTTGGTTGTAAATGTTGACAATCTTGCCACTGGCTCTGTCAAGTCGCTGTCCTGTCCATGTGGTCCTGTGCCTTGCAGAGTGGCAGAACGCTGTGTTTGATAAGAATAATCTGTTAATTTCACAGAACTGCACTAGCGTCTCTCCGCTGACGTTTCTGATTCCACGCCCATGGCTGCCAATACATGATTCGTCCTGCTGCTTCGTTCCAGCTTTCGCGTTGAAGTCTCCAATAACAAAGAAGAGGGAACTCGAGTCCACGTCATGTATAGCTCTGGTCAAGGTACCGTAGAATTCATCCAATTCAAAGTTGTTGTCTCTGCAGCGAGCTGACGTCGGGGCATACACATTCAGGATACTCAATGTCGATTTTTTTCCCAATTGTAACGAAATTCCAGCGACTCGGTCAGAAACGCTCCAAACTCTCTCGACTCTCGGCTCCAAGCTGCTTCTTACTGCAAATGCCAGACCATAATGACGACAGGTTGGCGACAGCGTGTAAAGAACATAGCCACCACAATACTCTTGCCTCGTTTCGCAAATTTTAGTTTCCTGCACGGCACAAACATCAATTTTGTACTTGGCCAAATCACGACAGAGCGCTTCACGTTTGACTTTCGACGATAGACCACGTACATTGAACGTCGCTAAACTAAATTGGCTTCCTTCCTGTCTGAAGAAGCCCCCATCCACTAGGTTCGATAGAGACATATCCCAAGAGAGGGAGAGAAGGAGTCACCCTCCTCAGCCAAAAATAATATAAATATGCAGTACAAAAATCTATGAAGTACTGTACACTGCTTACTCGCTTCTCTTGGCTTCCATCCATGGGCGATCCGAAGCCACCTGCTCCACCGAAACCACCGCCTGCACCACCTCCAAACGAAGCATCACCTGTTGGTAAAGGAGAACGAAAGCAAGGGAGGTTTGAGTTCGCCAAAATGCTGAATTCTGCGATTCATAATTCGTCTCAGCGTTCAGTTTGTTCATTAGACCTACCTGCACCGCCTCCCCACATTGTCTTCAGCAGAGAGAGAACGGAGAATAAAATGAGCAAGATCACTGGGCAGGTGATGTGATATTTCTCTTTCTACTGAATGAGTGAACGATGTTGCGTTGGGCTTGCAGAACTGATGAGCTTTCCACAAAATCAAAATCAGGCGATCTTCAAGAAATCGAAACAAGCATGCAAAGCTGCCAACACCTCCGTCGTCGCGTCGGTCTGCAAAGGCCACTTCATCTTTCCCGCGGATTTCTGGCATGACGTCACAAGCTGCCAAAATCAGCCACATGTGCACAATCTTTTTTTATTCTCATGATCGATGAAAACCAGGCCGGGAGTAGTACAATACCGGTATAATTAGTACTACTCCCTGATGAAAACTGCACAAAGCAGAATATAAAAACCAAGGGCAAGGCTAGAGTAAGACTAAAAGTGAAGAAACTAATCAAATGCAAAGTCCAGTGCAGTCAGTGCAGTGTGCATGTGGGACTGGGACTGGGAGCAAACCAAGAGTACATAACCCCCGGGGGGGGGGGGGGGGGGTTATGTACTCTTGGAGCAAACCCATGATTCGCCTGATATGATTCGGCATTCCTAAAAAATCATAGCTATACTAGTATAGCCACTATAGGCATATCGCCACTCGTGTGACTGGGTCCGGGCCGCCGTTATTTACCGGTCCGCGATATTATTATTATTATTAAATTTTGAATAGGGCAGTCCCACATGCACAGGCCTACAACTCAAGGACAAGTAGGGCCTTTTTTCATATGCGATCCAGTGGCCGGCAGTAGATGTACTCCGTACTTTTCCGCTCCTCCGATAGCAGCCCCTATGGCTATATTAGCCTCAGCTGCCTGAGCAGTGAGCAGCCTCGCTAGCGCTAGGCACTCAAGACTTTACGTGACCGGGCCGCCTGGACAACAAACCGTGGACCACGGTGGACACCAGCGACTACCGCAGCGCCGTCCCGGAGCTTCGGCCTCTGGCTCTGGGGTGTCGGAGACCACACCGCTACTTCCTGGCGCTGTACATAGAGGGCTGTCTGCAAAAGACAGACGTTCGTGTGAGGCACAGGAGCCTGGAGGTGGGTACTACTACTACTACAGTCCATTCAGAAAAAAATGAACTTCTAGCTTTTGGCCATAAATGGGTCAAACGTTGAGTTTTTTTAGAATTTTTTTCTGCAATCCCATATGGAATCCTCTTCCAATTATGTTTCTGAAGTTTTTTTGTCCAAAAAGCAAGCCATAGCAAGAATAGGATTTCGGCCAGGTTTTGCCCCAAAAGCACTGAATTGGGAAAAACCATCAAAATCCAGGCCGTTTGACCCCGCCTGCAACAGTGCATTCTGCGGTTCGAACCCCAGTTCAGGCACCCTTTTTGGACCCTTTTTCAAATTTCAAAGTTCGCAGCACTGCACTGTGTACGATGAAATCACGAAAAATCGCCAAATACGGGAGCTCGCCAAAGCCAGGACCCATTTTTTTTATGAATGGACTAGTACTACCGGTACATACATGTACATGTAGTACTAACTTACTACAATAATGTATTAGGGGCCGTCCGTAAATATCGATGTTTTTTTAGAGACGATATTGGTGCGTCTGGGGGGGAGGGGGTTTGAGCCATGTGCGTCTTTTCGAGCATCAGAAAAATATCGATGTAAATATCTGAAGTTTCGCCGATCCCTGCACGCGGACGTCTAAATGGCTATACAAGAAATGTGAAACCAGCTTCCGTTCGCGGAGCTAAAACTCGCGACACAAGAACAAAATCAAAAATTGGAAGCTGTACGCCCATGGCGAATTTCAAGAGCAAAAGAATGAGCTATTGATTGTGAAATCGGCCGAACGATGCCTGCGGGAGACCTTTTTCAAGACGTAGAGGCAGTGCGAACAAACACGGACGAACTCCACAAGAGTTTCCAGTCTTCACTGTCTGAACAAGGATTTGAAAAAAGTCAAGCCCGAGCGTAGCCGCTTTGGCTACACCAGTACACCTGGTACACGATGGCTGAGCACTGCAGCGCCAACCCGGTTCGCTCCCCCCAGGCGATGCAGCTATTGCGTGAGTGCGGCGGGATTTTCACGCCTACACCGGACCCTCAACATCCTGGGCACTTCATGAGCATCCAAAAATATTGATTCCATGATCTAGATGTACATGTGCGTCTTCTGGGGGGAGGGAGGGGGGTCAAGGGAGAGAAGCACCAATATCGTCTCTAAAAAAACATCGATATTTACGGACGGCCCCTTAAAGTCTTGTTTTTGTCAATGAATAAAAACTACATGACTTTTTGTATATGCGCACTCATGTCACAACCATAGCAACGAACAAAGTGTTCCAGAACGGTTTTCTTGTCACAATTATCAATGGAATTCGTGACTATTATAATAAAAGGGAATGATGAAACTACAATTGAATAGGATTTTATATGACAGTGTACCCAAGCCTCTTGTACGCGGGCAAAATACACACAAGCGCAACCTCAACCTGCAGGAAACTAGCTAAAATGGAGGGAAATGAACACAAGCGCAACCTCAACCTGCAGGAACTGAGCTAAAATGGAGGGAAATGAACACAAGCGTAACCTCAACAGGAAGAAAATGAGCTAAAATGGAGGGAAATGAACACAAGTGCAACCTCAACAGGAAGAAAATGAGCTAAAATGGAGGGAGGGCGCTAACATGGCTGTGACAACAGTCTAATATCGAGGGAGCTTAACGTATGGTGCATGGCTAGCTAGTGCAGCCTCCACGGCAACCAGTGATGCCGGTGCCTGAGGAAACATCGTGAGACACTCTGAGGGAACGCGAACCGTGAAGACACATTACGCTTGATCTAAGCTGCAGTAAGCAGAGCGAAGCTAAGGTGGCAGCGAACCCAGGCCATTACAATGCTGTACGGCTCCAGGGTCTTATCTCAAGAGGGAAGCTGTCCTCTTGTATAGAGCTGCGCAGTGACGACCCATTCCACCAGTGGTTGTGAAGACCGCCGGGATGAATGACGCGTGCTCAATATCAAGGATTCTCTGCTCATGCTGGCAGCGCTTTTCATTCTCCTGCCTGGTGTAGGCGGAGGCAAGTGAGGCAGCACGATTTGAAGACGCGAAGGGTTAAAACCCGTACACAAATGAAGGTGCGTTCAAATCGACCACCCCAAATGCCACTCGCAGCTACATCCAGGCGGGCTTGGTCAGCCATGATAGCGGATCGATGGCGGATTTATACCGTTGGAGTGAAAAAATGAGGATACCAGAATAGTAAGAAAGATAGCACTAACTTCAGACAAATTGCACTGGTAATAAAAACTATACACTGCAGGGGCGCCGGAACCGGTGCGGCAGGTGCGGCCAAAGCCACACCAATAATTTCATCTTGGAATTTCTGAAGCAATGGAATATGGGCTATTTGGGCCCCAATTTCCCTACAATGTTCTGCCGGGGGAGGACCCCCTGGACCCTTCATCCATACATGGCCGCCCCAATGTCAAATACCTTCCGATGCCCCTGACTGTAGTGAGAAATGATAGGAAATTCAGCAAGTGCAATGTGACAATGTTCATACATGTGCAAGTGTGTGTGAGTGCGAATTTACTAGAAGAGTGTAAGTGTGTTTTTGTTTTTGTATTTGCATTTATTCGACATTTCCTGGCTCGTCGAACGACTGCCAATAACAAGTGAACGTGAAATGAAGGGCGATAGCCCAACCACAGCGAACTATCCGAAACAGTACAAAAAAGATGCGAAGGTGTGAGGATTTCGAGAGTAGAAAATAACCTGACTCAGGGTTGAGAGACACGGTATAGGTGAGAGTTTGTACTTGTCGAATTTGTTGTTGTTGTATTTGTAGTGTCAACCCTCTTTTACGGGCAAAAGAAACACGCGGCAATGGATGAAAATGCAATACTAATGCAAATCCAGAAAACCAGAAAAGGAAAAAAAATATGTACCGTATTTCCCCGATTATAAGTCGCACCTTTTTACACTAATATAAACTTCATTCCCAAAAAAGGGGTGTGACTTACAATCGAGCATGACTTACTACTGAAGTGAATATATTGAAACGATATGACAAGGACCTGAAAATGGGGATGCGACTTACAATCGAGTGCGACTTACAATCGGGGAAATACGGTAACCCAAAAGTTTAGTTGTCTGATGATTGCCTATGGGCATGAAACGATTAGTTACAATGAACGATGCTTGGTGCTCTGTGCCGTGTGTAAGTTAGCTCTATTCGAACCGTTCGGAACGAATATTGAGCACTCTACCAAGCCGGAGGACTCTCATTTGTAACCCAAAAGCAAAAACAATGTGTAATTAATTGAGGCTATGTCACGTGATGTGATGTTATACCACTCCAAAACTACAGCAGCATCAAATACAGATTAAAATACAATTAGAAAGGAAAAGGACATATGGAAACGAGTAAAGAGTAACTCTCCACCACCGTAACTAGATACTATATACAGTCAGAAAGTGCAACAACTAGGCACAAAACTGACAGAGTACTGAGACATTCGACGTCCTGTTTCCATATGTCCTTTTCCTTTCTACTTTTATTATTGGCTCAATACCCGAGTTTCAAATAAAATACACTTGATTGATAATATAATAGGGCTCAAACAGTTAGTCCGATTAACCGGTTTAAGACCGGTTTTGAAAAGATAAAGGTTAACCGTTTGTGTAAAGGTTACGCGGGTACTTTTTCGAGTTTTCGAAGTACACATTTTTACCGAGTTTTGGCAGTTTTACTACCTATCGTGTATGTACATGTACATATGCATACATGCACACTACATGGTACCATCCGTGACAATTTGAATCAATTTCATGCCATCTTTAATGCTTCTGGTCTGTGAATAGGCGTGAATGAGCATGCCAACATGTGCTGCATGGATTAGTACTTAGTAGTAAGTCTGCAGAGTACATTTTTGACCAAGTATATTGTACGATACTGTTCAAACTAGCTACGCGCCAGACTGCCGCAGCTTATAGGTTATAACCGATAAACCAACCGTTAGCGTAGCAGTTAACCGTTAAGGTGAAAACCGTAGCCGTTTGAGCCCTATAATATAAGAATGGACTCGGATGGAGCTGATTGTTTAGTAACTGGTGGTGTTAGTGGACATTAAAGCGTAACTTGTAGTTCCTTGGTCCTTTTTCTTTTCTAAAAATATAATAACTAAGACGAACAGCACCTCACATATGCCCCTCCACAACAGCCAACTCCCTGAGTGCATTGACTAGACGGTGGTATGCCGAGCGGGAGCCGTGGATGCACATTGAACTTGTAGTTGTACCGTTACAGTACCGGGAGCCATGACATCATCGTTAATCATGGTAACCTGGAGAAAGACAGGTGTATTTATTTACTTGGGGCGCGGGAATTGGATCACTCGAAAGGTGACTTAGATCTTGGTAGGTCGAGGCTGCACTGGTGATGCCCACGAAGTCTACAAAGATCTTCGGTCCGACAGCCTCCAGCAGGGTAGGTTTACTGAGGAAGGTAGTGTGGCCACGGGTGGGGGCTAACATCTAGGCACTCGACTGTTCATACCACACGCATGGATTGCCGGGTAAAATACATCAATTTTACTTCTCCCTAGTTCATAATTGTCAGCACACCAGATCTGTTGTACCGTGCATCTAATGCAAGTAGTCCAAGGTCACGCTCCATTGCGCTCTTATAAAGTTTCACCCTACATTATGAACTGCATCTGCACCTTAATCCCTCGAGGGTGGTGGTGTTCCTGCGGATGCGGAAAACTCTGTCTGACTGACTCTCAGTGCACGCTGGCTGTGAATATTTTATGATATTCTTATTCTATACCGCCCACCCATACCTGCACAGTATAGACCGTAGACGTCTATGATTGCTGAGGGACATCGAGTGGCCTCCCATTAATCATGACTGTAACCTACGGTTGCTGGGCAACATCGAGTGGCCTCCCCTCTCCTCCGATTAATACTACAGTACTCTGAGTTACAACAATGATTCTCTCTCCTCTTTTGCTGTCTACCCAAGTACATTCACTTATTGCGTGTGTGTGTGTGTGTGTGTGTGTGTGCGTGTGCGTGTGTGTGTATGTATGGGTGTGTTCCATGTATATAATTATGTGTGTGTGGTGGCGTGTGGTGATGTGTGTGTTGTGGCGTGTGGTGATGTGTGTGTATGTTTTAATGCATTGTCATGTGTGTGCATGCAGGCAAGTTTCCGGCAGCTCCTAGCCGAGAGTCGGCATAGACTTTGCTCAGCACTTGTACCCGTCGCCGCAGTACGTCACGCAGTGTGCTAGTGTGCAGTGTGCTAGTGTGCAGCAAGCGCGTACACGTACACTTCAGCCTGACCGCCCCCGCACAGCCGACCTGACCTGACCCGACCCGACCGGCCTGACCCACCAGTGACCTGACCTGGCTTCACCGGCCCGACCCGACCCAACCTGACTTAACCTGCAGTCTGCACGGTGCAGGGGAGCGGCAACGCTACCAGCTTGCTGTGCCAGTGTGTTGGGTGCATAGACGTAGAGCTACCTGGTGTCATCGGCCAAGTCAGCCAACGCTGTCCACTAGCTTGTGTCTAGCACAAGCAGGCTAGTGGTCTTCAATTCTTCTGGTGCCTGGATAATAGTTATGGCAACTCAGGAAGACTTCCCTCCAGACACAACTGGGCTCAAAGTATGCCAAGGTGAGGAGAGCAGGGCGTACAAGGTGCGGGTTAATTTTCCCGAGGACAGTCTTGACATGTTTGGTTCAACACCACCATCCAATGGGCCATGGCACACAGTGGTCAGAGTGGTGCCAACGTTCAGAGCCGCTAATCACGATGCCACGAAACCTGACGAGGAACAAGAATGGTCCGGCCTTCCGGGGAGTGGGTTCATCACCGACCTCTTGGCCCCCACTGGCACATCGGGTCAGATGCCTGGCACCGAGCCTCAGCTGTCTGTTATCCTCACAGCTGCACATGTCCTCCTTGATGCAGGTAATGGAGCCGGCATGGCACACCGAGTGAAAATCTACACGGCCGACGGCAAGATGCTTGTAGAAAGCAACACTGAGAGCCGTCAGAACATGCAGTGCACGTTCGCAGTCTCCGCTCACTCCATGCACAGCCCAACTAGGAAGCCTCCGTCGGAGTTTGACTATGCTGCAATCTACATCGACCTCGGAGCATGCTTCTTTCCAGATGCTCTGCATGTCGACATGTCCATCTCTGCAGCCCAACTCACCAAATATTGCGATAAGTCCATGATGGTTGCTGGTTATCTCAATTCCGGCGATGGGAATGATCTCTACATGGCAAAAGGGAAGGCTTGCCACCTTCGAGGGGCGACTACACCACAGCTGCTTGACACCACTACCGCTCAACCAGAAGCTGAGCTGCTGTATCATGCTGCCGACACAGGTAATGGTCAAAGCGGATCACCACTGTACTTTAAGAAAGGGAAATTCCAGTGGCAAGCTATCGCCATACACTCAGGCCAAAGTAAGAGTGTAGTGTCTGAAATAAAGGCCCATAAAGAGGTGCTGACAAAGACCCACCGCACTTGGGTTGAGAATGTACAGCATTTGAAGGGTTTTTGCAACATCGGAGTTGCGCTGACAAGCGACATTGTGAAGGACATCCTGGGATGGCCGCGCACGAGACATGACGAGCTGAGCCAAGCAGTCGGTGCTGATGCCAAATGACCGTGAACGTGTCCCAGAGGCTGCTTCAGACAAACGGCAGTAGGGGCGAGTAGGCACTTGGGGCGTTCTCTTCGCTCAACTTGATAGCGAAGCCTTGCCTGTCCCCCGTGGCACCCATGACCGGGCTGTGTGAGTGCTCGTGTT